ATATATAAAGGTAAATATATTGAATGAAAATTTATTTCTATATTTAAATTCCTTTTTCTATTCGTGGAGATCAATTTAATTAACCAAATTTGAACTCAATCCTAATAAATATACACATAAAGGAGGAATATTTTAAAGAGAGCAAGAATATTTATATAACCATTTTAATAAAATATATAATATTACTCATGTGTAATAAGGATCTTAGAAAGATTTTTTACGAAGAAAGAAATCATTTCCGTAGTCTTTAGGATGTTTTATTTTACTCTGCATAAATTAACGATCGTCTGAATTCTTAAACTTAAAAATAAAAATATTACTTTAGATAGAGATTTTCTTCTTTTAAAGAAATTATATTGAAAATCTTCTTCCTCAGTGTTACTGCTTAATTCTGAAGAATGAGTTGCTTATAATTCATATTACGGTCTAATTTATGATTTAACATCTTTAAACCTTTTATCTATCATTCCTTTTTAGCATTTACATTTTCTTTAAAAGAGTTCTAAAGATTTTTTTAAAGATAAAAGTGAATTCTCATTATCAATTTTTAATTTTATTAAAAGTTCTTCCAACCAATCATTTTTTTAACTTAATTATGTAATCTTGCTCTAGAATTATTTTTAAATTAATTTGACTTTATTTTTCATCTCATGTTCTCTTTATTTATGACGATTTAATTCATTTGCTAACAATCTATTTGAGATTGCGAGTTCCTTAATCTTTTATTCTAATTAAGGATTCTTTTTTATTGTAGATCTAAAATGATGTTCAGATTATTTGTGATATTCTATTGCATTTTCCACAAATTTTAAAAAATCTGATTAAATTGTCTTGGTTTCTTTTTAAGCAGGTTCTCTAATAAATTCACTATCACTTTTAGAAATGTTCAACTTAAAAAAATGATCAAACAATTTTTCTCCCTCATTTTCTTCCAATTCAGTAATGGGAGTACCTTATTTATAAATATTTTGTAAAGAAGATTTAGCTCTTAAAGGTTTTTAGTTTTCTTAAGGAAGATTTTAGAATATCATTTAATCAAGATTATCTTAACGAGATCCAAATGACTATTAATCATTTGGAGTTCTCATTTGTCTAAGTTCTCTAGAATTTATTAATTGTTATATCTACTTGCATAATTAATTGTTTGCTTTCCCGACAGTTAACTGAGTAACATTTAATTAAAATATTGTATAAATCTCAGATACAATATTGTGCTCTTAGGATAAAGCAGGGCAAGAAAGAATTATCTCAATTGGCATGAATAAAACATTGCCAGATTAGATTAACCTGTAGCTATTGTTATTAAGATTATCACTTAAATCATGTTCAAGATGTTATTAAAATAATAGAATTGAAATCTTTAGTATTAAATACTTATAATTAATAAGAGCACTTTGAATTTATTAGTTTGATTGATGAAAAAGCAAAAATATTGGAAAATCTAAAAAAAATTACATAAATTTGCTTCTTATTTAGAAGCTAATTTAACTAGAATAGCTAGAATTTAAATTAGAGCTTTGTTTATTTTTAAATACACTGCTTAAATTATGTCATTTAAATTTGCATTCAATAAAAGAAGAAGAATTGTTAATATAAATTAATAGATTAAGTAATGTTGAATATAATTCGATTATTCAATCTATTGAGGTTTAATTGAAAAGAACTATTGAATGCATAATGAAACTACACGATATTATTTATAATGAGTGTAAAAGGTTTTTAAGAAAGAAATTTATAAATTCTTATATTTAGGATAAAAAATTATAAAGTTTTATTTAGAGAATGTATTAGATTACAAAATGGCACCAAAAAATACATTCCTTGATAAGAGGATTTTATGTTTACATAAGAATTCTTACAATTAGAAGAAATAAATAAATATCATTAAGGTCGAGATTCAACAATGAACACCTCATGAATAAGGTTCTCTCATCCTAATAAGTGATTAAAAGATTGAGGAAAGAATTTTGGAGGATGGGTATTTTTCTTGGGAATATAGATCTATATAATTAAAAGGAGTACTTTCAATTATATATGGAGAAATGTTTGATTGAGTAATAAATGGTTTAGGCAAATTGATCTGCAAAGATGGAAAATCATATTTTAAATTAAGTTATATCTAATTTTTATGCAGGAGAATGGATTAATGGATAGAAATATGGAATGGGAATATATAAATATGCAAATTGTGGCATGTATGAAAGAGCATTTAAATTCAATTTAAAGGATAGATAAGGTACATATAATGCTCATATTTATATTAGTTAGTTTGAAAAAGGGACAAAAAATGGAGATGAAAAATAAATCTCTAAAAATTAAGACATCTATTCAGGAAAATTTAAAGAAGACAAAATAGATGGAGGGTGAAATATAAAATATCACGATAGGAAAATTTATGATCAAAAGTAATTTTGGTTAGATAGTAAGGAATGTAGAAGAATGGTCATCCTATTTATGTAGATATGATTTATAAAAATGACTTACATCATCCAATTAAATAGATTACGTATGATGATTATGGAAAAGTGCATGAGACTATAAATTTATAAAAATAAAAATAATGAAATAACTAATATTAGCAATCTTATTGATCATAGTCAATTGTGGTAGATTAACAGCTGACATTTATGTTGAATCCCTTTGCCCTTATTGCATGATGTTTATTAAAGATTCCCTCTTAACAGCAATTACAACTCCTGATATAGAATAGATGGTTCATATTAGATTAATTCCTTATGGAAATACAAAGAGAAAAATAGTGGATGGAAAATGGGTATTTACATGTCAACATGGTGAAGTTGAATGTTATGGAGATTTGATTGAATTATGTGCATAGGATAGCATAGTAAAAGCATTAGGAACTGTAGCAGCAGAGATTCCTAAAGCAGGAGTTGTTCATTGCATTGAAGATTTTATTTAAAAACCTTATACAAATAATTCATTTGTAGAAGCTGCATAACATTGTTAATAATATTATCCTTATGAAGCTAATGAGGTTATCAATTGTGCAAGTGTATATTTATAAATATTATATGTCTTTAGAGTGCATATGGAGAATTATTGCATTTGATTGCAGCTGATGAAACTGATAATCTAGTTCCTAAACATAAAGGAGTTCCATGGGCAGTTGCTAATAAACAATATACTGAAGAAACTGGTGATGAGATTATCAATAATTTGTTAAGATGGGCATGCAATAACTATGATGGAGAAAAAATTGCTGCTTGTTATACTTAGCAGGAATGATTTATTTAAAATTATTATCATCAATATTGAATTTACTAATATTCATTTTATACACTACATATATATTGATTATATTACAATTATAATGTTGTTACAAGTGAAAGTGAAATTCAACTATGAAACTCGATAATATTTATTGATTATATATTATTATAAAAATGTCAGGAATTTCGTATTATATTCAGTTCGGCCTTGAGGGATAAAGATAACAATTGTGAAATTGCAGCTTCTAACACAATTTCTATATAGAAATACTCTATTACCTCCCTCTGAATCAGCAAGAGTTGAAGATTAGTACAATCCATATAAATTGTTTAATCTTAAGGCAGCCAATGTCGAGCACATTCTAAATTAGCTATTTACAGATTTATTAACTCTAAAAATAATGCTTATATTTTTTACAATCTAATTGCTATCTTAATTTATTGAGTTTGAATTGTTGAAAAGTTAACAAATTATTTTGCAAAAGCAAAGAATCCCCGCATGTTAAATTTAATTATTTAAATAAATTTAATGCTAAACACAAAGCAAATAAATTATTTTTACTTTTTGCATAATTCAATTATTATTGTTTTGTATATCAAAGGAATAAACTAGAGTCTCAAACATTTTTGAGACATTTTATGATTCAGATAAACATATTCTCTTAAAAAATTGTTTTATTTTCTCCTGAATAAATTCATTTAAATATACTTTATTTAATTCTATAATTGAAATCTAAAATTATCATTTCAATAGATTAGGAATAGATCTTTATTTAATATTAATTAAATAACTTCAAAAAGAATTCTATTTCTTTTTTACATACTATCCTATTAATTAGTTATAATAATTGATTTGAATTATGTCTTTTGCTTTAATTAAGGTAGATATTATTATTTAAAATTATTGTAACATGAGTTAAGTTATTTTTTGAATCTTCACAAGATAAAAGAAAGCTCTTAATAAAAACATTTCAAACAGAACAGATCTTTATATTTACTTTATTTTATATAGAAGATATTTATTTTTTGGTTTATTACAATTCCAAATTTTCATATTTGAAAAATTTAAACAATTGATTAATTCTGATTAATTTATATATTAAATTTCGTATACTTATTTTAATTGACTAAGATTAAGTTTATAGTATTTTAATATATATTTTCTTTAATATCAGTGATAAGTTTAGATTATTTTATTTTAAGATCTCGTTTAAATGATTAAAATTTATATGCTTATTTAATAAATTTTAGTTCTAAATGAATCTCTTAGAAAATGATGTAAACACTCCTCGTAATTTCACATTTAAAAAGTTCTATATCAAAAAGGTTACTCTTAATAGAAAACCATAATATAGAGCAAATTATAACAAGGAAAGAATTAAAATTGCATTTGGAACCAGCTTAAAATCGTCAAGCAAAGATAAGATTGAATAACCAACCTTGTTTTATGACAAAAACTACTCATGTATTGATAAACATTCAGGAATACCTTTAATATAAAAGCCAAGAAATAGAACATCTAGAAGTGAATATGACGCAAATGAAAAAATCAAAAAGCCTCATAATTAAGATGAACGATAAAATTCAAAAAGCTTGTGTATTTAACGAAATCTCATGAATTAAAGAGAACATACAACCTTAGAACCCTACAATTTAAATTATTTGAATAGACATTTACCTATGACCTTAAGGTAAATAAAAGAAAGTTTTATAATGCTATTGTAAGTTTTAAGTTTAAGTTAGGAATAAACATTAAGCTAATCATATTAATCTAGAAGCATTATGAAATAAAAATTGAATTTGCATTATAAAGAAATCTTGATTTTTTTAATAATCATAAATGATAATATTTAAATTTTTATTAGAAGTATTAAATGGGGTGAAAAAATTTCTTTTTAATTACATCTTAATTTATAATATATTTTCAAATCATTTTTTATTTTTTAATTTCTTAAAGTCTCCTGTTTTCTTAGGTTAGAAGTTCCACTTTCTCTTCCAGATTTTTCATCTTAATTTAATCTAAATCAATTATTTGAGTCATATATTTGATCTAAGATTCTAATTCAAGTTACAGTTTGTGATCCTTTTAACTGATAATTATAATTTATACTTAAGTTTTGGATTTTCTGTATTATTCGAAAGTAATTGTTGTTGTAAAGTAGAATTTTCACTTTATAAATATTCTATTTAATTTTTCAATTATTAGTTTTCTAAATATAATTTCTTGCCTTTCTTTTGTAAATCAGTAATTCTTTTTTCTTCTCTTGTTATAATAATGATATTTACTAAAATTATTTAACTTTATTTTATAGTAAATAACATTTAGTTTTGTATTTATCAAGTTCAATTTAGTCATATTGCTCTTAATTTTATTACAAGACTTTGTTTTCATTTTATAAAAAAGCAATTTTTTTTTCAAGTTCTTAAATTTGTACTTTATACTATATTTCTTATAATTATGATTTCTATAAATAAATTTTGATAATTTACATTAGATAGTTTTTCTTTTTCCATATATTTTTGTATAGTTTCACTCAATTTATTGTTTTCGTTAATTTAATGGGAATTCATTTTTTCTAATTATGCAATTCTTTATTTTAAAAATGTAATTTCATCCTTTTTAACAGTTGAGATTGTTTCAAATGTATTTTCTTTTTCTCGTGTTGTTTGATGTTATTAAGTAATATTTTTCTTACTTTACATGAAATAATTTTGAATTTCACATGATGTATTGAATTATTTTGAGCAATTAACCCCTAACATTGATTATGATGCTGATCTCTACTAGGCAGTTGGTTATTATTAAAATACAACAGGTCTTAATTTCTCATAAATGGATGCCATATAAACTTTAACGTATTTATTTATAATAATTAATTAAAATATTTCAATCAACTTTGATATATTTTGCATTCATTACTGCAGGCAATATTTCTTTATTCACAATAAAATCAGGATCTCTATGGAGATACAGTAGTTATGTATCCATTATTACAGGAAACACGTGTTCCATTTTCTAAATGCTTTTTTAATAAGCATCTTTTGGTCTTGAAATAGTTGCAATATCAATTTCTTTAAAAGTACATAATCCATAAATGTTAGGGTGTTAGATTAAAACTTTTCTACCGCAAGGCAATAAATCTATTGATCTATTCATTAATTATTGTAACATACATTAAAAGTTTTTAATATTGACTTGTAACAGATTTCATTGAACGAATAGTTATGCCCAATAACCCAAAATAGAAAAGAATTCCAATATATCCTCTATCTTAATAATTATATAATTTTTTTGCAGTAAAATAAGTGAGATAACCTCCAATAGCAGATATTAAAATATAATAATTTCTAAATCTGCTAAAAATTTGACTTTAGTAAAGAGAACATCTTCCCTAAATAATAATCAAAAATATATTTACATTCTAAAAAGTTAATGGATTTTTTGGATGATATAATAGTTCTGCATCAGACCAAATATCTTTTGATTATTAGGAACATTTATAGGTGATTTTAGAAAAGTTTCTTAATGTTTTTGAAAACATTAATTATGATTATTTCTTCCTCAAATAAAAATTTATATATTTAATATTTGAATAAAACCAAAAATATTTATATAATACTTTCATTTGATAAGATTAATTAAATTAATAATTATATATAAATCATGTCAAGTCTTAAGTCTTCATTTACAGTAGGAATATTTTAGTCTTTAAGTTTTTGTGGATTGAGATAAAAAATTTTAAAAAACATTGCGTTTTAACCACCTAAAGTGAGTTATTCTTTGAAAGCAAGATGTGATGATTAAATGACAAAGAGCACTTTAACAAATCCTTCATCATTATAAGTTATTGATTCAGAACATGAGAAACGATAAAAATCAAAGTCATATGATGATGAAAACATACATGAATTGGGTCTGTTAGATTTGGCAGAAGAAATAATGCAATTTACAAGTGAAAGCTTAAGTCCTATGAAGGAAAAGTAAAAATAGTTATTTAGAATAGAGTATCTGAACCTGCTTATGATTTTTATTTGATAGACGAACAAGGTTAAGAAATTCCAATTCCAAAATAAGAAAACTTAGATTTGACTGGATATTTCTTAAAAGGAAGAAAAGGACATCGAATAGCATCATTATACTTATAGTATTTATTTCCAATGAGTGAATATGTTATATTGTTCAGTCATGGAAATGCTAGTGATTTAGGTTACATGATTGATACATTAATTGGTAATTATTAAAATGAAATTATTTAAGATCTTTGCAACAATTTGAGAATAAATATATTTGCTTATGAGTATTCAGGTTATGGACTTTCATAGGGTAAGTGTACAGATCTCAATATCATCAACAATATATAAGTAGCTTATTAATTTTTAGTGTAATAAATGAATTTTGATCCAACAAAAATAATTGTTTATGGTTACAGCATAGGATCAGGACCAAGTGTTATGTTAGTATCTGACATAGAATTCCCGGTTGGAGGTTTAGTTGTTCATTCAGGATTGAGTTCAGGATTAAGAGTAGTCAATAACAAATTAAAATCAACTCCTTTTTATGATATATTTCCAAATGTAGACAGGATTAAGGATGTCACTTGTCCTGTATTTATATTACATGGAAAAGAAGATGAGATTATTGATTTACAACATGCTAAATTATTGTCTAGCAATTGTTAAAGATTGTATGAATATTGGGAGGTTGATAATATTGGACATCAAGGAATTGACACAAATGATGAACATCGAAAAAATTATTTCTATAAATTAAGGGATTTCATTAAATGTATATTTTTATTTTCATTATTTTTAGTAATACAAAATGAAAATTAAACAATCAAAGAATTAAAAAAACGAAATACAGCTAGTCCTAAATTAAATGGATCGTATAATCATTATTATGATAATAAAATACGAGAGTTCCATTTAAGTTGTAGGAAGGTTCAAGATTCAGGATCTCCTCCTAAAAAAATTCGTTGATTTTTCATAATCGCAATTTTTGACATTAATTTAATCTGTTTATGAATAAATTTAATATAGTATTTGCCCTATATTTTTGAAATTAATTAATTAATATATAGATATCTATTATTTATTCAATATCGATGATGACTTGAATCTCTAGTTTTGTTAGGTACTTTTGTAAAAGTGATAGGTTTAGTATGTTAATTAAAATAGTTTTATTATTTTTATCTATTTTAATTTAACAACTTGATTTAATTTGTATCATAAACTTCTACAGAAATGTTCATTTTATTAGTTGATATCGATCTTTCAATTAATGCAGATCTCTATGTTTAAAGAACCTATTAAAATCTCTATTATGTATCAGTTATTTTTTGCTTTGGAGAAATTGAAATAATTCTATTATCTAAAATAATATCATTTTTACCATCAAAAGTTGAGGATCTCTCTTTATTATTGAAACTATTGAGATCAATCAATTTGATAGGAATAGGATGATCTTTGAAGATTATTTTCTATTTAATTCTCTAGCCGACACTCTACAATTATTAATTCAGCCAACATAGAATTTTATCTACTAACGCAAAATCTCTAGTTTCATTGTGATCTTGATTAGTGTAATAGATAGTTTTGATTCCTTAGTAATTATTAAAGAGTTTTTCAGTTTATTCATGCGAAACTACTGAATCAATATTTGAAGTAATAAAAAAGGCAGGTATTTTAATAAGTTTTAAATTATTTAAACTAGAAATATAATAAAATAGAATTACCAGTTTATCTCATTGAGAGTGAAACCACATTGATTTTTGATTTCATCTGACACATAAGAGGATAAAGAGTTAAGAATGAAATTTGGAATTTTAGTTCTTTTGGATGCCATTTGTACTACAATCTTAAATATGAAAATTTAATACATCTTACAAACATATAAAGGGACTGTCAAGAACTAAACACTTAACAAAAAGATTTTTAAATTATTACATATAGAGCAAAGCAACAACAGAACCCATAGATCTTCCCCATAATACAATAGTTTTGGCATATTGAGTAATATGTGTAATGACAGTTTGTAAATCATAAATTTCTCTAAAACCATAAGTAACTTGATTGCCATCTGATAGACCACTTCCAGTGAAATCAAAAGTAAGAAACATATAATTTTAATTAAGAACTTCATTCACATATCTTAAGGCTTCTAATCTACAACCATTAGCTGAATGCAAATAAATGATGCAAACATCACTTTAAACATTACCTTAAAATAATGAAACTTTTATTCTCTGTTGGCAATGATTTACTAAATCAAAATCATTTCTCGTGTATGTTTAATCTTAAATTGGTCCTATGTGATCCATTGAAAGTAACAAATACCCAAATCATATTGTTGATATTCGGCTCTTAAAGGCCGAATGATTTATGCACAAATTTAGTTAATTCCTTTTTCAAAATATTTCATTAATATTATTATACTGTTAGATAATGATATCATAGTAAGTACATAAATAGCAACTCTAATTTTAATAGCAACCAATCACTCCCACATTACATTTGAAGGGAATCTTATAAGAGTTACCTAGAGAAACTCTTTTCTAAAAGTACATGAGAAGTAGACTTAATAAGAAATAGAATCATAATCTGAATAAATCACCTGAATTACTACCATTGTAGCCTAAAAACATTATAAACTAAACTGCTTATGTCATTAAGAATAAGTAATGCTCACTCAAAAACAGATTTAAGAAATATGTGACTGAGGTAGACAGCATAAGTACAACAAAGACAGTTTAGAGAAGAAATCCATTCATCAAAAAAAAAAAAAGTGAAAATTGGAATGATATAGATGGATGGAATGTTATTGATGAAACCATTTTATAATGATTTTGATTCTTCTTGCTTTATTATAAATATGTTTTACTATTAAATAGATAATTGTATATCAATTAAGAATACTGACTACTTCCTTTTCATTTGTCGATTGATTTTGGTTTTAGTGAAACAATTTGTAGAGTAATTGGAAATTCAATAGTTTTAATTATATTATAGTTATATACATATTTTTTGAAAAATAAATAAAGACATCAATGGGTAATATATGTCGATAAAATCCTATAATTGATAAAGAGAACAATGAAGTTAATACGTCTCAACCTCCAACTGTTTAATTAGCTGTAGCACCAAAAATAGAGGATGTAAAGGCCGAATAAGTTTAATAAAAGAAATAAGCTGAATAAAACATAGAAGAGGATTAACCGAAATAAGAAAATGAAGTATACATAGTAAATAAATTTATGCTAGCCTAAAAGAAAAGAATAAAAAAAGATGGCTAAAATAGCTGCTGTTATAGATTAAGAAGTGATTTATGAAAACGTTTAAAAATAAGAAAAAACAAAAAGTCCTTTTGATTATCAGCTATTGTTGAATACTTTTGGCAATAGTTTTATTTTTGGTTAATTGCAGAATGAAGACAAGTAAGAACAATTTTATATTAAGAGTTAAAGTTATTGATACAATGTTTTATTGTACAGTTCATGATGGGTAAATGGTTTTTAAGTAAGGAGACAAAGCAAGTTCTTATTTTTTGATAGAGAGAGGTTAATGTTAAATAATAATTAATAATGAAGTTAAGAAGACACTTAAATAAGGTGAAGCTTTTGGTGAATTAGCTTTACTTTATAATGCTCCTAGATCTGCATCAGTTAAGGCTGTTGGAGGTATCTCATTGATATAATTCTTAATATAGATTGTGCATTTTGGGCAATTGATAGAAATACTGTAAGAAAAGCTATTGAATCAATATCGTAACGAGATTATGAACAGAATAAAGAATTTATTAATAAAGTATAATTTTTTGGTAATATATTATATTATCTATAGAATCGTTAACTGATGATTAAAAAGCTGCTATTCCTTCAGCTTTAATAACTCTTAATTTTAAAGCAGGGGAAATTATAGTTAATGAAGGAGATTAAGCTGATTCTTTTTTTATTATTAAAAAAGGAGAAATTTAAATATCAAGAGGAGGAAAAGAATTAAGAATTATGAAAACAGGAGATTCTTTAGGAGAATAAGCCCTTTAAACTAATTCTGTAAGAGGAGCTACTGTTAAAGCAATCAAAGAAGATGCTATTATTTTAGCTTTAGCAAGAGATGATTTAACTAGAATTTTAGGAGATAAAATTTAATTTATCATGTATAGTAATTTATAGAGATGGGCATTTGAAAGACATGCTGTTCTTAATAAATTAACTAAATTATAAGTTGAAAGAATTGTTAGCAATATGTAATAAATTTAAAAGAAGGCTGAAGAATCTATCATCGCAAAAGGTTAGCCTTGCAGAGAAATTATAATTGTATTATAAGGTTCAATTAAATATGGAAAAGAAGTTTTAGAAAAAGGATAAATGTTTGGGGATAAGTTCTTAGATTAAGGAGACAATGTTATATTAGGAGAGCCTGTTATAATGAAAGATGAGGGAATGATTGCTGTAATAACATTTAAGCAATTTTTTGAAATAATAGGAGGTTCTTTAGAATAAATCTTTGTTAAAAATGAAAAAGCTCATGATAGATTTATTAAAAAAGAGGATGGATAGAAATAAGAGATGTACAAACATTTTGAGTTAGATTAATTAATTTCAGTTAAAAAGTTAGGATAGGGTTAATTTGGTAATGTTTATTTGGTTTATAACAAATTGGATAAAAAGACATATGCTTTAAAATGCATTTCTAAAGCTTAAATAATAGATTAGAATCTGGAGAAGCATTTAGCTTAAGAGAAGATTGCTTTAGAAACTGTCAATTTCCCTTTGATAATGCATTTCGCTAGGAGTTTTAAAGACAATACATATATATATTTTTTAGAAGAATATATAAGAGGAATGGAACTCTTTGATGTTATTAGAGATATAGGATTGTTAAATACTTATGATTCTTAATTTTATATAGGATCATTGATATTATGTATGGAATATTTACATCTAAATAATATAATTTATAGAGATATTAAACCTGAAAATATTATGATTGATGAAAAAGTATCTTATTTTCTAAATAATAGGGATTTATGAAATTAATAGATTTAGGGACTGCTAAAAATCTAAAAAATAAAAATGGAAGAACTTACACTATAATTGGAACTCCACATTATATGGCTCCTGAGATTTTAACAGGAAAAGGTTACACTTATTCAGTGGATTTGTGGTCAATTGGGGTATGTTTATATGAATTTATGTGTGGTAATGTCCCTTATGCTGAAGATGCAGATGATCCGTAAAGAATATGAATTAATTTTATAGTTATGAGATATATGAAGAGATTTAAAAGAAATAATTAGCTTTTCCATCAGTTTTAAAAGATAGAAAAGCTAAGAAATTAATAGAATAATTATTGAGTAAGACACCAGAGTTAAGACTTGGTTCAACATATGCAAGTTTAAAAAATAATGCATTTTTTGAAAGATTTGATTATGTAAATGATTTATTAAACAAAAATAGGATAGTCTAATAAATAGAGAGTTGAAACCTCCATATATACCACCTAAAAATAAATTACATAGTGATAAAGATATATAGAAAGCAATTTAAGTTGGGAAATTAATATCTGAAGAAATAAAAGTATAAAATTAAATTAAAATAGAATGATCCTGCAACAGCATCAAATGTATATCGTCCAGAGAAAGCAAGAGATCCAAATTGGGATAAAGAATATTGATTTTCAAATTATGTTTTTAATAATAATAATTTTATAAACTTATGATATAAGTTTTTAGATAATAATAATATCAGTTATTCCATTTAAGTAATTTTCCATCAACCCATTCACCCTCCTTTAATACTCTATTAGTACCCTTGTATTAACCTTTTCCATGTTATTTACCATCTTTCCAATATCCTTTATAGACTCTACCATCAGGCCAATAGAATTCTCCATAACCTTCTTTTTTATCATTAATATAGTCACCAACATAACGTCTATAAAATTTAATTAAAATATAATTACCTTCCATCTGACCAACTAAATACTCCATGACCATCCATTTAATTTTCTTTCCAATCACCTTCATATTCTCTATTATCTGCCCAAATGTAATGTCCTTTACCATGGATATTATTATTAATAAATTCTCCAACATAGGAACTACCATCAGGCCAACTGAATTTACCATGTCCATGTTTCATACCATTGGTATATGTTCCTTCAAACATAGAACCATCAGCCCATTTTTCCAATCCATTACCATGTTATTAATCTTCATACCATTCACCTCTATAAAATGCTCCATCTTTATGACTATAAACTCCAAAACCATGAGCTTTATCATTCAACCATTTTCCTTCATATAAATCACCATCTGAATGTATTAATCTTCCTTCTCCATTTGCTTTATCTTATAACCAATATCCTTCATATATTGAACCATCTGCCCAAAATTGTTTACCTCTTCCGTGTCTTAACCCATTCTTCCATTATCCATAGTAAAATACACTAGGCTCTATTTCTACTGGACCATAAAAAGGTAATTATTTTAATTCAAACGGCTCATTTTAATCATAATTAAATGGTTATAACTAATCTATTAATGGCTTTGTAAAACAATTTGTAAAGTCAGGAATAGAATCCAATTTCTTTAAATCTTATCTATCTATATTATATTTAATAACCTTATATGTTATTGTACTATAAAACTAGCATTCTAAGATTTAACTGTACTCTATGATAATTTACTTTTCTGACTCAACTATTGAACGTTTTCTTGATCTTCTAAGTTTGGCTTATTCTTAAAAGGTCTCATTTATTCTCCTCCATGTTCATATATCGATGGATCGTCACATGTAGCACAATTTCCCATTGAAATTAAAAATAACAGCAAAAAATATTAATTAAAATAATATGAATACAGAAATTGATATAAATAATCTTAAAGCAGAACTTAAATATGACAAATTAACATGCCTTATTCTCTTTGAAATATTTGCCACTTGATTTATAGGTCTTTATGTATTTGTTCATTTCTCTCTTCATTTAACAGAGTATGTTTATATATTCTAATAACCACTGATAGATCTATTATTTATAGATATTCCTAAATACCCTCTTCATATAGCAGAATTATTAGATGTAATTAGCAGATACTCCGAAAATAATTTTATTCTATTTTCTATTTGCATTCATTTACCTCTAAATTTTTATACTATTCCAGGTCCTGTGTTTTTGAGTTTGCTTTCAGGTAATAGAATTAATTATTTATCCAAAAGGATAATTGTTTGGTCCTATTTATTCCAGCATTTCTATTAGTTTCTTTCTGTTCTATAACTTCAACTAGTCTATGCTATGGATTATCCTATTCATTAGCAGGAGGATTAGTACTCAATAGATTTCCTAATCAAATTGTCATCTACAAAAAGATTCATAAGAATAGAGATAATCTATTTTTTATATGATGTTTTTGAGATTTACTCCATTAATTCCTAATGTTTCAATTAAGGTATCTGGACATATTGTTGGCCTTCCCTTTAAATATTTCTTCTTTGGCCTTTTAATAGGTAATATTCATTCCAATATGAAGATTGATGCCAGAAAATATCATATATATTTGAACAGGACTCTTAATTTAATAACATAATAATTTTTCCACTAGTTCTTAAGTAAATTATTAAAAATACTAATTTTTAAGGCTCTATTGTCTCTGTACAAAAAATCTTATTTATTAATTATGAAGAATAGGGAGTTTAAAACTATATCGGAATTTTTATTTCAAGCAATTCTTTTATTTTTACTATAAGACTAGAAATTGAGATTTATGAAAGAATTTTTTTGATAAATTTCTAAATTTATTTTTTTTTATTTAATTCACAAAATAGTAGTATTTAATCAGAAATCTTCGCATAAAATTTCTCAAAATTTACCTATATAGTCATTATAGTAAGAGAGAGCATTTATATCTTCGCTCTTATTTTAAACAAATACTTTGAAAAAGTTTGCTTTACACATCGAAAGTTAATATATTTTGTTCTTAAAATAATTGGTTAATAAAATGATTTCTAAGTTCTTAAAATCAGAAAGATCTGAGATATACTATGAGTTTGGGTTACTTTTGTAATTTAATGATATTTTGTTAAACAAATTGTTTCACTAATGTTTAATGCATTGATAAATAAATAATAATGTTAAATTAAACATTAAATGACGCTTAAATAGTGGCTGGCATTGACAATTTGAAACAGAAAGTATATTTACCACATTTATATAAATTTAGAATCATTGTGTTTATAATTATGAACTATATCCTAATTGTGAAAAACCATTATTATTGATGTGTAATCAATATTTGGCAGTAGATGATAAATTAAAGTGGAGTATATTTTTAAGTTATGTGCACACTTTAGGTATGAAAGATTATATGAATTAGGATTAAAGGTTGATAGATAATTCTATGTTAATTTAGGCAAAATATATGAGTAGATATTCAATCATTGTTATGAAGAAGATCTGATACAATTAGAGTAAGAGTTTGGTAAGCCTGCTGAAGGCTATTAAGATAATCAATTATAAGAGTTATTCTTCATGTTTTCAAAATGCTCACCTTTTAATAATGATGCTAAAACTGGAAGATTTCTTAAAATTGGTGCTTCATTACAGCCAGAAAATCTAGATGATAGGTCCACCGTTGTTGCAGTTCAATTATTTAGAAAGTTTTTTCTCTAATATGCTGATTATAACTTTAAAGTAAAGAACAATTTAAATTTCAGCAACCCAACCCATTTCATATTATTAAAAACAGTAACGTAATGCATTATGATACTAATGTTGTCAGAGAAAAGATAGTCAATCTAATGATGAAGAATTAAGACTTTTTAAATTACATAGAATAACATACCTCACTATTTTAAAGTCACATCCTATTTGATCAATTAAAAAAATTAGATCACTAAAAGGATAGTTTGATGAAGTTTCTTTATGAGAACACTGACTTACAACATTTTATAATTATGGTATATGATTTATTGAACAAAGTAACAGAGGGAGAATTCAACTCAACTCTAATACTTAAACATATAACTTTGTAAATTTTAGATCCTTTCATTCATCCACTTGCATTGTCAATATGCGATTTTTATGAATAAATTTTAGAAGAATATGAAGGTACAGAAGAAGTCAAGTAAATGAAAGAGAAGTATCTGCCAAAAATAACTTTTTTGAATATGGATGGATTTGATTTTGAATTTAATTACAAATTACTGGATAATTATTCAGGATCTTGCTAATATATCTCAGTATTAGATGAAATGCTAGATTCTGATGATAAATCTTAAATGTTTGATTTAGTAACAAAGGATAAGATTTCTTTTATGTAAGCTAAAAATTCTTATATCATACCTATTAGATAGAGTCATAATTAAAAACGATTAAATGATATGCATTTTAGACATATCTTAGATTTACTTGTATATCCTCTTATAAAATCGTTCTAACCTTAGGTTATTATTTTTAGTTATTCATTTGCATATTTTAATTAAGAATCTGATATCCAATTATCTTCAAAGTTATTTACTGAAATCACTACTCATTTGTCATTAATTAGTAATTATAAGGTAATTTTCTTACCTAGAATTTTATCATCAGGAGTTTAAATTTAAGATCATAGATTTGAAATTGAACTTTTAAAAACAGATCATAAGAATATTTTATACTATTTAAATATTTATATAACTCATGTTTAATAAAGTTTTAAATTTTTACATCCATCCAATTAACAACATTATTGTGAATTATCACATTATGCAAATAATGCTATGAAAATAGTTAAAAGTAATAGTTTTTATGAAAAAAAAAAGTAAGGCAATATCATACATTTTGTGTTAAACAAAGAAAAAGAAAGATATATGTTTGAAATATTGTCAGGCTTTCTTGAATCATGTAGAAGTAAATATAATTCTTTATATTTAGAGTCATATTTATAGGAAGTTAAGGATAAGGATAAACGTATGTAAGATCCAAATTTACAGTGTTAAGATTTATTGTAATACAAATTATCTTATGCTGAACTTTTAAATAAACTATATCAATATCATGAAAAACATCTTTTTAGTAACTTATTTAAATCTACATAATAATAAATTCATACTTATAAATTACTGTCAAAGTAACATCAAAAGACTTAAATAAAAGAAGATTCATAATTTGTTTCATTTTTAGCATAAGATTTAAAAGATTATATTTATGTAATTGATAACTTGGTTAACAGTAATTTAATTATATTTATAATAGATGAGCCTTAACTGTTATAAATATATCTGAGGAGATTATAATCTCCAGTTTATATACATAATAGACTCACTTAGTACTTTGTGAATTACAAATTAAAAAGCATACTTTTTATCAATGTGTTATCATTTATTGATATTAGAGATATTGGAATTGTAAGATGTTATTAAAAGCTAATAGATTAAAATAGAATGCATACTAAGTATGTTAGGTGAATTATGAAAAATATCTAAATCCTGTTTAAAAAACTGATTAAATTTGGGCAGAAATTATAGTTATTCATGAAACTACAGAGCCTGTATTTTTTCGATCTTTGTGTTTTGATAAATAAAAGAATAATGTTTATTGCATTTATGGTAAAGAGGCTAAAAATAACACATTACGGGATTCAATTGATACATTCAATTTCGAAAAAGTAATAAGAATAAAATAATATTAGAACACTTTTACAACAATTTATAGAGACAAAAAAACAAAAAAAGAAAGTGATACTTATTTTGCAAGAGCATATGCTTCTTCTGTCGTATTCTCTTTTAACCAATAATCTAAACCATACACTGAAGTTTGGACTTTTGGAGGATCATTTTTGTATATATATATTTTTAAGTAATTTTAGAGGACATTATAATCAAGCATTTTAAAATATGGGATTTTGTAATTTGGTAGAAAGATTATTTATTAGTGAAGATTCTTATAGATCTGAAAAAATAAATAAAGAATTAATCGTTCCACTATCTATGAGACCTATGTATGGTTCTTTGATGTTAAGTGTATAGTATAATATTTTATTTAATTCAATAGAGACAATGATGAATCTGCCATTCTAATTATTGGAGGATCTTAGAATGAGCTTTTAGTTAATATTGAATAATAAGAATATATTGGATATAAATTTCAATAGATTGATAATCATTATTATGTAAGTGCCATCACTAATTTTGGATAGAAAATTAATCCAATTAGTTTCTATTCATAAAATTAAAATATCTACTCTCACTAAGACAAAATTTATATTTTGAATGATGCTACATAAATATTAGGAAAATCTTATAGATTCAATAATGAAACAAATGAATTTGAAGTAACTGATCCTTTTTCTCCTTATGGTATTTTAAGTTTAACTTCCCTTAATATTTCATATAACTTATCATCATAAGAGATATTTTAAAAAAGAAAAATCTCAATTATTAGTATTGATGCTAATAATATTATTTTAAATGGAACCTAAGTTGTTTAACCTTTTGCTTAAATGCATAAAGCAATGAAATTCTTATATAAAGAATAGGATAATTTAAATTATTAAGCAAGAATTATATTTTAAGATAATAATGAAATAGTTGGATTAATTAAAAATTTTGAGTTTACTAGATACATTTATTTATATGTAAATATCAAATAAGATGAAAATATGCATTAAGGATATCTAAAACCATGTTCGATGTGTGTTAGTTATTCTAACAAAAGTTTATATTTGCTTACTACAAATATAGAAAATGGATCAGTTTATTTTACTATTTATAGCTATCAAATAAATTAATTAATTTAAGATATTAACTTGTCCTTAAATAATGATAATAAAAAATTAATATTAAATGTTTACACTATTTTTGCTAAAGTTGTTATGCATCTATCCAATAATGTAGAAAAGATTTTTAAACAATTAACTTGTGATGATGAAAATTTATATTTGATTGGTGGATATATGGGACTTATATATTAATAGAATGATTTAGATTTATTATTACTTTAAGGATAATAAACTTATAAATATCATAAAAATATAGAAAATATCAATAATAAGAATTTTAAAATTCCATTTGTAAATCCTGAATAATATTCCAAATTTGGATAAAGTAATAAATATATGTATGAATCTCCATACATTATTTGGACTAATTCTGACTAAATTTTAATAATTGAAAAATAATTTAAATAGAAATACTTTAGTGAAGTGATTGATCGAGTACATCATGACTTTAAAATTTGGATTACTAAATTTGAAATTTCAATTAATGAAAGTTGGGAATAAGGCATTTTAGTTCTTCCATCATTTTTATTAACTAAAGCATATGTAGAAATGACATCTTAAGTTGTTACAGATAAAATGAAAGAATAAATTTAACATAGAAAATTAGATTTATTTTTATAAAATACAAATACAGAAGTAAGACCTTTTTTATTTAATTATAGTTTGAAACTATTGTGAAAATTGTTGATTACATTTCAATAGATTAGAGAATAATATTAACATGTGCAGTTTAAGTGCTAAATTTTATATAAATGTTGAGCTTTGAATTTTCTTTAGAAAATTAAGAGGAGTATTTATTACAATACAAATATAATGGAACTCATTAATAACATTAGCATGCCAGAAGATATTCAGTTCCAATCTTTATACCAAAAGTCACTCTCCTTGTTACAACTTAAAAATAAGCAATTATTGATGGATATCAAATTTATGATCCAATAAATGAGTTTTAAACAATAAGGCAATAAAACTAAAGCTAAATTATAGTTAAAATGAAAGAATAAATCAAAGTTTATAATCTAATTCCTTAATTATGAAAAATCAAGTATTTCTTTATTATCAACTTTATTTATTTATTTAATAATTTCTATTATGAAGAGTTGTTTCTCAAATTCTAAATACTAATTACTTTAAATCTCAAAAATTGATAGCTGAAAAACTTTAACACAGTTTCAAACAAAAATATATTAAAATTTTAAAAAAAGATGAATCAATCAAAATAATAAAAAAGACAATAATACCTCTTTAATTGATAAAATAATAACATAATAATGTTGTTAATACTATTATTCAAGAAATATTAATTATTGCATATACAATAATATCGAATTTAAGCAAAAAATAAAATTATCAGATTGTTTTATTGTATTATCAGAAACTTAGAATTATATCAGAGAGCAGTCAGTTTTTAGTAACACAAAGTGAAAATTTGTACATTAATACTGAATTTATTAGAAAAAAAACTAGAAAATTTATGAAAAAGTCAATCAAGAACACCTGAATTGTATAATTATACGCTAAAAACAAATATGGTTATTATAATAAGGCTTATATAATAACCACATTTTGTAAAAGTATGTTATGTCATGATAGAAATTAAAGAAGTAAAATTATTTTTCAATAGTAGAAATACATTATAATAATTTTTCGGTATGTTTTCCATGTTTTCAAAGAAAATGCACTTCGAAATTATTGTCAATATAATTATTTATAAATAATCTATTTTATTAATGTTTTAATTAATATGTTTATTTATTATTCTAAAATCAAGTTTGTTTCTTTTAAAGAATGTTCATCTTAATACTTTTTGAATTACTATTTTTATTTGAAATAGCTGATAAAAAAACATCATTTTGACTTTTTTTTAAACCAGAATTTTTTATAATTAAATGTGCAAGTAATCTGAGTTTTGTTAGTATTTTATTATGATATTCAATCTGAATTTGTTAAAATTAAGATTTGAGTTTTTAATTCTTTTTTTAATTTTTTTTTCATCCATAAACAAGGGAATATCTTAATATTCTTATGATTTGAATAATCATAAAGAAGATTTGGAATCTTAATTTATGGTATTATTACATAATATAATAAATTTTGGAATTTGAATATCGTAATTTCTTAAACAAAAAAATATGATTTCGATTCTGGGAAAACCTTGAATTCAAATTTTTTTATTTTTTAGAATCCAAGATTTAATGATAATAATTATGAAATGAATTTCTGTAATAATAAATTTCTAGATGTTAAATTATAATGGAAATTTATGGGTTCGAAATAATTATGTTTTAGGGAATAGAGTAAGATATAAGATATGATTAATAAGACTTAATACCCTTTGTTTTTAGGTACGGTGGCTGGAACTCTTCTTCTGTACTTATATTGTGATTTTGTTTTACTTAAAAAATATTGTGAAGTCCCTAATTTAAGTAAAGCAATTGTAACATTTCAGATATTATCAATATATTCAATGTTTAGAGTCAATATGACAGGTAAACTAAACAAATTTAGATTTTAGAGCCTGGTGTATAAATGTAAACGATTTTAGATGATAAAAATTTTTATGGGAAATTATGTGAAAAATGCAAGGCCATTAAAATTGATCGTTGCTATCATTGTAAATTTTGTGATCATTGTGTAAATGATTTTGAAGCACATTGCTTTTTGATGGCAACATGCATAGGCAGAAGAAATATAAAATATTTGTTAGGACTTGTTACATTCACAGGGATGGCGTTATACTTATTATTACTTATTTTAATTTATAAATGTATAATTTGACATAATTATTATAGTATTTGTATCAGATTGCAATAGAGAACTAACTTTCATTATTTTAAATATTGTGAGCTTAGTTCTAACATTGATTCATTTAAACCCATTTATATATACGACTTGGAGAAATGCATCATAGGTAATATATAAATTTTAAGTTTAGAATTGGACCAAAAAGGAAATGAATAAAACTAAATTTAATGGGTCGCCTTCATTTATTTATAAAAATTATAAATAATTCTTTACTCAAATTTGTGATAGTTAATTATATGCAAGTTTTGTATAATATTGAATCAAAATTATGTGTAAATAAAGATATTTATAATTATTTATAGTATAACACTTATCCTTTTAGTTTTATTATTGATTTTTGAGATTAAACTAAGATATTTTTGATTTTTTTATAAATTCTTTTAGTCTTAAAATCTAATTAAGGATTTTTATATTAAAGAAATAATAAATATTAAAAATGAAAATTAATAATAATATTCCAAACTATCTCAAATTACCTCATATTGGACATTAATGGAAATTTTTGAAAAATATAGAATTGACTACATTTACAAATAGTAGTATGGAATAATCATGCAAAAACAATAACAGCAGTTTAATGACTAATAGTAATATATGTCCTAATCGAACTTAGTATGAAGAAACCCCTTAAAATAAGAAAAGAAAATTAGCAAAAAGTTAAACAATAGATATCAAATAATAATTAGATTAAATTGATTCAGTAAAAGAATCTAATAGTGGGCAAGTAAAAAAAATAGCAGAAAATCTAATAAAACAATATGATAATTTATAAGTCAATGATAAAAAGAAGAATACTTTAATGATTAAAAAATAATTATCCTAATAAAATTAAACAAATCAAAAACTTTATATTGAAAAATGCTAATCATTATATTAATAATAAAATGAAACAAAATAAAATACAAAGCAATAGGAACCAAATGAAATTAATTAATTTACATAACTTTTTTAGTTAATTTAAAATTAAGGATAGAATAAAGTTAAGAAAAGAAAATGCCAAATTAACTTTTTTAAGAAAAGTTCATCAATGGATAACATAAATGTAGTAGAATAGCAAAAAAAGATTACAAAATTACTTTTATAATCGAAAATTAGGATCAAGCCTAAGTTCTCTCCGACTATTAATATCTAGGATCTCCTGTTGAAAAATTGAAATAAATTAAATGAATTAAATTATTATCTTAAATAATAATCTCAAAAACAAATAATGATGATTAACAAGATAGTGTGGGTAGTACTTCATATTCACTTATTTTTCCTACTTGTAAATTTGCAAAAAAAACTTAAAGTATTATCTTCAGTATCATTCTTTATTTCTTTTTTTGCCTTTTATTTTGTGGGATATGGTGTCTTGTTAAAAGAAAATCAATATTCCAATTAAAAAAATAAAATAAAGTAATTTACATAGAAAACAATAAAACAATGTTACTACTGCATTTTAATATTAGAAAAAAGAAATTATTTTTAATTAATGAATCCTTGATAATTATGTATTTTTATTTAGATTTAGAAATTTAATTTTTGTTCATTAAGGGCATAAAGTAAACATAGGTTCAAACTCATTTTTAAAATAAATTTATTTCTTGTAAAATTATTTATTAGTTTTATTAAGTTAAAGATTATTTCTAATCTAAATCTAATTATAATTACTTTCCATTTAGTTATTAAGTGTACAAAAAAATTAATTCAAAAAAATAGGGTAAAACTTTTCAAAATATTTATTAAGGTGTTAATTTCTAATAATTTCCAATTAAAATATTTACAAAAGTAAGAAACAAGTCTTAAAAGCAAAATTTCTCATATTAAGATCTGAATAAATTTCATATTTTAGAGCTAAGATAAATAAAAGAAAATGCTTCTTAAAATATATAAAATAGACAAGGAAACCTACTTTAATTATTTTTAAGCTTAATAAAGACAATCTTTTTGAAAAAAAATTGAATGAGAAAAATAAATTGTTTAAGAAGAGCTTGAATAGATAGTTAATTAGATTTGTTTAAATATAAAATGAAAGTTAGAAAAGAAATTAAGTTTTTCAATAATTGTTATTAAATTAATTAATTAATTAATGGAATTTCTAGGCGATCTTGATTTTTTACCAGGAAGCATAAATCCAAAATTAAAGGGCTTAATATATATAATCACATTATTACACGTATTAGCTGTGTTTATATGGATTGCTCTATTGTGTAGATAAGCAGGAAAAAAAAGTAATACTTTTCAAAGTTATGTGGAACAAGTGATGGGTGAAGGATCCAAAATTAAACATCATTGAGTAATTGCAATTTATTTTACAAAAATAATTATAATAACCAACATTCACTGATAATCTCAACTACTTTATTTTATTTGCTGTTTCTCATGTGTTTTTTATGTTTTAAATAAATGCTAATATATCGATTAGTTTAATATTTAGATTTTACCTACTTAATCATATTTTATCATATTCTAGATATAATACAATAAATGAGTCTTTATTAAAGTCAATATCAATAAGACTCCCAAAATTTTACAACATCTTAATTCAAAGGTTAATTAATTAATCTCTTAATTATTAAACTTTTTTTATTTATAATCCTTATATGCTTTGTTCTTTAAAAAGCGATGATAATTCTATTTGATTAATGAAGTATTTGAAAATATGGTTTATGAATAATAATTCAATAATTCTAGTAGTTATAATTTAACAAAACAATCTTTTACTCATCTATTTCGTATAATTTACTTAACTTGATTATATTTAATTCAATTAATAATTGTAATATCCCGTTTCTATTAATTTTTTTTAGATAAACTTAAATTGTTTTCTTAATTTTTTTAATTATTGATAAAAACTTAAAAACATCTCCATCTAACATAAACTCACTTATTTTAGAACATTTACTTTTTATAAAGATTGTTTTTGCTTAACAAACCTAAGGAATAACAACAATATAGACAATAATTTTAATTTCTTGTATAAAAAAAGTGTGATTAAAATTAATGACATCATTCCAAAAGAGACCACAACATTGTTTAATAATTATTTTTGAATTTTTAATGAAATTTGTTAACAATGTAAAATAATAATTTGGTTTTCAATTTAAAATAGGTTCTGACAATATAAAAATGAAAAAAATCAAGAATTACCGTTTAATGGTAAAATTAATGATAAGAACAAAGGCTTAAATTAAATTTTATGTTGTAAATATAAAGCAATAAATGAAAGTTATATTAAATTTGATTGTAGAATTATTAAACATTTAACTTATAAAAAGCAAACTGTATATTAGATTAAATTGATAATGGATTATTTATTACTGATTGCAGAACTTTATGATTGTATANTATTGTGTAGATAAGCAGGAAAAAAAAGTAATACTTTTCAAAGTTATGTGGAACAAGTGATGGGTGAAGGATCCAAAATTAAACATCATTGAGTAATTGCAATTTATTTTACAAAAATAATTATAATAACCAACATTCACTGATAATCTCAACTACTTTATTTTATTTGCTGTTTCTCATGTGTTTTTTATGTTTTAAATAAATGCTAATATATCGATTAGTTTAATATTTAGATTTTACCTACTTAATCATATTTTATCATATTCTAGATATAATACAATAAATGAGTCTTTATTAAAGTCAATATCAATAAGACTCCCAAAATTTTACAACATCTTAATTCAAAGGTTAATTAATTAATCTCTTAATTATTAAACTTTTTTTATTTATAATCCTTATATGCTTTGTTCTTTAAAAAGCGATGATAATTCTATTTGATTAATGAAGTATTTGAAAATATGGTTTATGAATAATAATTCAATAATTCTAGTAGTTATAATTTAACAAAACAATCTTTTACTCATCTATTTCGTATAATTTACTTAACTTGATTATATTTAATTCAATTAATAATTGTAATATCCCGTTTCTATTAATTTTTTTTAGATAAACTTAAATTGTTTTCTTAATTTTTTTAATTATTGATAAAAACTTAAAAACATCTCCATCTAACATAAACTCACTTATTTTAGAACATTTACTTTTTATAAAGATTGTTTTTGCTTAACAAACCTAAGGAATAACAACAATATAGACAATAATTTTAATTTCTTGTATAAAAAAAGTGTGATTAAAATTAATGACATCATTCCAAAAGAGACCACAACATTGTTTAATAATTATTTTTGAATTTTTAATGAAATTTGTTAACAATGTAAAATAATAATTTGGTTTTCAATTTAAAATAGGTTCTGACAATATAAAAATGAAAAAAATCAAGAATTACCGTTTAATGGTAAAATTAATGATAAGAACAAAGGCTTAAATTAAATTTTATGTTGTAAATATAAAGCAATAAATGAAAGTTATATTAAATTTGATTGTAGAATTATTAAACATTTAACTTATAAAAAGCAAACTGTATATTAGATTAAATTGATAATGGATTATTTATTACTGATTGCAGAACTTTATGATTGTATATCGGATGATTTTATTCTTGAGAGAAATTTATAAATGTTTATAACCATTTCCTAATATAAAGAAAAAGTATCGGAATGGATGTTGAGTAAAAATTACAGATACAACATTTGAAATAGGAGCTTATGGTTAAGAATTAAGGAAATAAAATGTTAATGTTTGTAGGATAATCAGAGATAAGGAGAAAGGAGAAAATTAGGTTAAGAGTTAAGTGTGAATTTAACTTCAAATTTTCAGATTGTTATAGCAGATTTCATTTAGTACAGAAGAGGATTTGCTTGAAAAAATTTAGGATCTCTAAACTTGACATAGGAATATTTATAAATAATGTTGGAGTTTCCCTGTTATGATCAAATATTCTATGTATTTGAAAAATCTATTTGAGAGATAATCAGATGTTGACATTAAAATAAATATTTCCTATAGTTTTTTTGACTAAATGAATACTATTAATTATGAAATAAACTAAAAGTAGATCTGCTATTATTAATTTATAATAATATTAGGTAGATTACCATTACCTTATCTTCAAACTTATTCTGCTACAAAAGTTTTTGATGACCATTTTTAATAATCTTTAGCCCTATAAATTAAGGAAATTGACATCTTGTCACACTGCTTTAAACAATTATGAAAAGAAAGCAGGAGCAATAAAACCTGAAAAATGTGCTACTGAAGGATTGTCAAGATGGAGTTAGAAAATTGCTATCTATGGATATTAGTTACATCGAATATTGGGATTCTTATTTAATTATATCATCCCTTAATTTATTAGAACTAGATATATTAAGATAATAGAAAATTAAATATAAATTTTTACAAAAAAATAATTGTAAAATTTGTTTATTTATAATGTTCTTTTTTATTATTGGGTTGGCCACAATAGCTTTTATAATTTTTAGAATTTTAGAAGAAATCTATAAATGTTTACAACCATTTCCAAATATATATGCAAAATATGGTTAGAACTGTTGGGCAGTTGTAACAGGAGCAACAGATGGAATTGGAAAAGGATATTGTTAAGTTTTAGCTTAATAAAATGTGAATATTTGCATGATTATCAGAAATGAAGAGAAAGCCAAAAATTTAATTCAAGAGTTAAGTAATGGATCTAGATCACAATTTAAGATAATAGTGGCTGATTTTAACAAATCATTAGAGGAAGGATTCTTTGATAAAATATATAAATAAATTGAGAATTTAGATATAGGATTATTGATAAATAATGTTGGAGTCTCACATGTTATATTCTTATTTTTATTATTATAGTTAGCACCATTAGAGAAATATAATGACAATGAACTAAGAGAAATAATTACAGTAAATTGTTTTCCTATAGTATTTTTGACAAAGAAAATAATTCCAAAAATGCTTTAAAGAAAGAAATCAGCTATAATAAATTTATCTTCATTTGCTGGAAGAGTACCTATGCCTTATAATTAAACATATGCAGCATCAAAAGCATTTGATGATTTCTTTTCTAGATCAATAGCACTAGAATATTCAAATATTGATATTTTAGCTCATCGACCTATGTATGTTACTACACCAATGACAAATTTTAAAAAAGGATAAGGAGCTATTTCTCCTATCTAAGCAGCAAAAGGTGCTTTGTAATATAATTATTTAATGCTAATAGACAACGTTTAGGTTTAGAATATTCTACGCATGGACATATATTGCACAGAATTTAAGGATTTTTTGGTGCTGTTGTTGTACCAACATTTATAAGAAATAAAATTCTGAAAAAGGAAATTAGAAAATTAGTAAAAAAAAATTTGTGAATGAAATGAAATATATTCATATATTATAAAGAGAGTTTATTTTTACTCAATATTATAGGTTTATAAAGAACAATAAATAAATTAATATAATTAATGGATTAGGATTAAAATCTCTTAACTTTAGTTGTTTAAATAGTTTACATAAATAATGAAAGACATCTTAATTGTGCTTATCTAGATTTAGATAAAAGAATGATTGAAGTTTGTGAATTTTAAGATAATGAACATTTTAGTGTGTTTGAATGTCTAGTTCTTTAAGTTAATCCAAGTAATGAGTTTTATAATAGTTTAAGCTGGGCAAGATGCTAAATTAACTGTTTTGATTTAAATGCCTGAATTAGAGAGTGAAAATAGAAAAGTGCGGGATATTTTAGATTAATGTGAATTTGAAGTTATTGAAAAAAATAAAAAAGATTTTTCGGAAATTAATATTTCCAATCTAAATAAAGTTTTAAAAAATAACTTTAACACTTATAGAGTGGAGGAATAGATATGCACTTAATGTATATAATGTTTAATAGAACATACACGTCTTTATAAAGATGATACAAATATATAAAAATTTAATATAGGATTATTAAATTTAAATAAATTTATGAGATTAGATTTAGCGGCAATCAATGCATTGATGATATTTCCAAAACAAGGAATTAAATAATTTGATAATGGAAATAATGCTAGCACTTTAGTTGATTATTTAGATAGATGTATTACTTAAATGGGAAAAAGATGTTTGAGAAGATGGATTAAAATGCCATTATAATCAATTTAAGAAATAAATTAAAGATTAAATATAGTTGAATTTTTATATTAAAACACTTCCTTTAGAGCATTCTTAAATGAAGACTTTTTGAAGAGAATTCCAGATCTAGATAAATTATATGCTAAATTCTATAAGGTTGCTAGTGATAAGAGAAATAATGCTAATCTAAGTGATTGTGTTAAAGTTTATTAATTAATCCAAAAAATCAAAGATATAATAAAAAAAGTAAATCAAGAATTGAATCAAAGTTAAAATCCTATTTTATAAGATATATTTTTAATACCTTTTGAAGAGAACTTAAGTGATTTTGAAAGATTAGAGGAAATGATTGAAAAATCTATTGATCTAAGCAAAGCTTACACTGGTGAATTTATAGTAAATCCTAGGTTTTCTGAAAAATTAATGTAATTAAGTAAAAATATTACATAATGTATGAATGATATTGAAAATGTTCGTTTAGATACTGAAGCTGAATTAGGAATCACTGTTACTTTGATAGAATCTGGAACATACACCTATATATTTGAAGCTAAAAAACAAAGCGCTGATGAAGCATTTAGAAAAAACCCTAAAAAATATAAGACTATTTCTGTTAAGAATAGAGCATTAACCTTTACAGTTGAAAAACTATAATCTGCTGTTGCTGATTATGTTAATTATAGAGATTTATATTAAGAAGTTCAATAGGAGAAAGTTTAAGAAATATTAAAAATAGTTTGTTCTTATTATCCTGTAATGGAATAAGCATCTAGATTGATTTCAGAAATAGATGTTTTGTCATCATTTGCATCTGTAGCTAGAAATGCTCCAAGAGCTTTTGTTAGACCAATTTTCATAGAAAAAAAAGAAATTTTATTAAAAGAATCAAGACATCCGTTATTAGAAGCAATAGATTCAACATGTATAGTAAATGATTTAGAAATGGATAGAAAATCATCAAGATTACATATAATTACAGGACCTAACATGGGTGGAAAATCAACTTATATTCGTTAAATAGCAATATGTGTGTTATTGGCACATATAGGTTGTTTTGTACCATGTAGTACTGCTGTTTTACCTATTATAGATGCTATAATAACTAGAGTAGGAGCAAGTGATGTATAAACAAAAGGTATTAGTACTTTTATGAGTGAAATGCTTGAAGCAAGTTGTATGTTAAAAACAGCAAAACCAGATTCTTTAATTATTATTGATGAATTAGGTAGAGGAACATCTACTTCTGAAGGATTTGGTATAGCTTGGGCTATAGCTGAACATATTGCTAAATAAATATAATCATATTGTTTATTCGCTACTCATTTTCATGAAATGACTTTAATGGAACATGAAATTCCAGGAGTTAAAAATTATTATGTAAGTTGTGTTACAGAAGATGATAAAATTACTATGTAATATAAAGTTAGATATGGAGCTGTTGATAGAAGTTATGGTTTATTAGTTGCTGAAATGTTAAAGTTTCCAAAAGAAGTTATTGATGATGCTAAATAAAAAGCGTTAGAATTAGAAACTTTCGAACATAATCTAGAATCTAATTTTATTGATGAAGAAGTTCCTATTTTTAATAATATTGATGATGAATTATAATACAAAATTAGAAATAGCACACTTTAATAAAAAGAGAAAGTTATAAAGGAGGCTGAAAAATGGAAGAATGAATTAAAAAATGAAAAGAACTCTTAAAAAAAAAAAGAAATTATAGAAAAAAGAAAACAAATTATACTTAAATTATTAAAATGATGTTAAATTACAGTATTTTATATCCATATATTTAATAAATTATGAAAATAATTAAAGAAAATAATTTTAGGCAAATAATGAAATACAATTTTGATATTTTTGTTTCATCTCATCAATTGTTTGCTGTTAAGACATAGCTTTATTAGTTTTTCTAAAGGAATTTGAATTCATATTCTTGTATACATTTTTGATTCTCAGTATATTCAATTGTTTTTCCTAAGGATATATATATATTGTATACCATTATAATCCATTTCATCAAAAAGAACAACTTTGGCTCCAGCAGGTACTTGAATAGATTTAATTTTGCTTGGATATTTGGCTAATTAGAAATTGGGCAAATCTTCACACATATTAAATGATTTTCCTAATTGACTTATAGAATATGATACTATTACCTGTGAAATTGCATTCAGTATAGAGTGTAGCGCAAGCATCTGGTTTTTCAAAATAAAGTTTAAATCCTTTAAGAGCAAATGAAGCATTATTATTATCTTTTCCAATAGTAGTTGATATAACCAATTCTAATGTAGATGCTTCATGTCCAATAATAAAATCAACAATAGCATAATTTTCAAATCCATCGCCACCACAAATATCAGCAAGACCTGGATCTCCAAATCCAAATGTTCTTGACCATACATTTAATCCATCAACTTTAACAACATAATCTTCTCCATTCCAATTATCAATTTTCCAAGCTTCAAAAGCTATTCTAATTCTTTTATGAGCTGGTAAATTAAATTTTCTAGTAATTTTTGCATCTTTTCCTGTTTTTTCATATCCACCAAAGAATTTAAAATCACCACATGTTGTTGTAAAATCTGGTCCATTTTTACCATCACTTACTTTCCAATCTTCATTAGCTGTCCAACTTGAACCTTAAAATTCTGATGTAAATTCAACCCAATCTCCTTTTAATACACAACCTGATCCATTACCATCTTCTGGATCCAATAATACATAAGGTGATACACAAGCTGTACAATCTTCTACACTTGGACCAGTACATGTTGCACAATTACTTGCACATTAAGCAACATAAAGTTGGAATTATCTAATACCCCAAGATGCTTATTTTGATGATTTTTTAACAGTTGCAGTCCATTTAACAAGTGCAGCACCATAATTATGAGGAGTTTCAAAGTTTATATTAATAACCTTTTCTGTTCCATCAACACCTCCTGGACTAATCTTATCACAAATAAAATATTCTTTATCTTCTACTTATGCTACATTTTATTTCCATTTTTCTTAATTATCAATAAGTAAAACAGCATTATCATTATCCCAATTATCAATCTTCCAAAATTATGCTATAACTTTCATTCTATAATGTGGTACAAGTTTATCAAATATTTTTTAAATAGATACATTATTACCAAAATTACCAGGTCCACCAATAATTGGAATACCCGCACAAGTACTTGTTTTAATAGTATTTTAAGATCCTTTTGCTTACCATCCATCTGCATCCAAAGTCTTAATCCAGCTTGATGAGACTGGAACCCACATTTAACATACTATAGCATCTGGTCCAAGACATGTACCACATTCTGTTGGACATGGTAAATAAAATAATTTTAAGTTTCTTATACCCCAAGACATCTAAATTATTATTAAAATATAATACTTTATCCGCTACTTTATCAGCTGAAGATGTAAATGCAATAAATAATGCTGCATGATTATGAGTTATTGTTTAATCAACTTAGAATGAATTTACATTTCCACCTGCAGGAGTTGCACATCTCTTTGTTCCATCACTTCCTGTCCACATTGTTTCCCAAAGGTAATTATCTAAATAAAAGAATTATCTCTAAGTATCCCATGCATCAAATCTAGAATTGTTAAATTATTATACTTCCACACTTCAACTGATATTTTTATCTAAAAATGAGGAGGCAATTAAAATTATTTAGTTATTATTGCTCCTTTACCAAATGCTTTAGGTCCTCCAAATACTGCAGAAGATGAACAACTAAAAAAATTATCACCCTATGATTTTGACAATGATCCTTGTATTGTCCATCCATCCAATTAACTTACATCAGCATTTTCAAATGCAGAATAAAATTATACAAATTCCTGTGATGTTGCAATCATCACAAGAATTGCAATCACTATGAATCTCATTTATATTAAATTAATATTCAAAAACGCATAATTTTTTAATTTATTCACACACCATATATATTTATCATTTTCAACCTAAAACCTTGAGGCAAATCTTCACTACTAAACATACTATCAAATTTCTGTTAGCCAAAAGACTATTTCAATTCTTATAATATATTAATAAAAAGTGGTTTTATAGATGGAAACTCTGTAGAAACAACTATGCAATAAACAAAATATTTAATGTCGTTTATTACTCTCCCTGGATACATTTTTACTATATTTATTAAGATCCTAAATTTAACACATTCTCATACTTAAAGGATTCCTCTTTGTATTCTTCTAATTATGAACTTTTTATTTAACTAAGTATTAAACAAACTCTTTTAAAAAAATTAGGTATCAATTCTTCAATTTATGATAAATGTGATCCAGCTAACCTGCATATTGCTATACATAAATTTTATGCTATATATTTTGGGAATTTTGGTTCATTTATTATTTTTATCAACTTTTCCATTACTACATTAAAAATAACTGTTATTTTTCCTGGATCTTTTATAGCCAATTCTCCTAAAGCCCAAGCTGCATTATTTGAAGTTGCCAAAAATAATTTAGAAGAATCAATACTTATTGATTATGCAAATATGTATTCATTTCTAATTTTAATAATATTTTTACAATATAATTGCAATATTAGCATTTTTAAAAATTGCATAACAGTTTTTAATTAAATCACCTATTAAAGATAATGCATATTGTTTGACATCAGTCTCAGAATCTTACAAAGCAAGATCAACAATTTATAAAAAAGATTAATCAGTTAATTCTAAGAATCTTTCTTTTGTGATATCGATAATCTTTACACACAAATCAAAAGACCGCTTTAAAATCTCCTTTTATTAATATAAATAGCGTGTCTTTCCATTTTAAATAGATTAAACATAACCATTCATAGATTAGATAATTGCTTAATAAATTATTTAAATATATTTGATTGCTCTTTATCCAAATTTTTCAACTGCTTCTGCTAAACATTCTATAATTAAATGATATATTAATACCGTAAAGTGGACAAATATTATAATCATTTAAATCAACTAAATTATTGATTAATTTAGTCATTATTAAATCTATTAATTCTTAATTATCTATTGTTTCACATTCAGCTAATATTGTTGCTATTGATTAATAAATGTATAGCAACACTCCTCCTTTTTAAGACAAAGCTTTTAGATAAACTTAGAATAAATCTAACAAGTAGGGTTGTAATATGAAGAATGCATCTTTTGATAATGAATTCAGTGCTGAACAGGCAGATTCTTTAACTATTCTAAATAATAAAATTAAAGATATACATTGATTAATTTTCTATCGAAATCAATAATAATTTCAAATAGGATTAAATAAATTAAGTCTCATTGATAGCAATTGTTTTAATCCATTCATTATATTGAGAAAAAGTCCATAATGTTGAAGCATAAATATATTCATTTTATTTATTCTTTTCATGAAATAGGGACATTAATATATTTGGCACAAGATTGGCATGATTTTCCATTATTTTCTCTGCAAATAATCCAAGACAAATTATAGCAATTTCTTATTATCTCCAATCTTATGATTATTGCAATTGATCAATAATTTGTAAAGTAATGGGAACAATGATTTTGTCATAAAATTCTATTAGTTTTTTAAGCAATTGATTTGTCACAGATCTTAATGAATATTCTCCTAAAGTTTTTTCTTCTTATTCTTCCTCTTCTTCATTTTTATCGTTTTGATTATATACATTTGAAAAAGTTGGTTATATTGCTATTTAATCAGTTTTTGTAATAACAAGATTAAGAATTATAGGTGACATTATTTATTGTAAATAAGGTTTAAGTAAGTGAGTTTATTCATAATCTTCTGCATCATCAATTCTTAAAAAATCTGTTAAACATAGTTCAACAAATCGAACTACTTCTTTGTCTGGATCTTATATAGATTAAACACATGCCATTATAATTAAATTCATGTCCTTTATTTTATCTCTTTTTGTTTCTATTAAAGCTTGAATGCCTTGAAAGCATTTTAGTCTAATTTATTGTTCTGAAGATTAAGTGCCTGTTATTAAAATTTTAATGTAACAATCAATATATTGATTTAATGAAGGTGGCATAAAGAAAATATTATAGTTTAAAAAATTTAAGGAATTTACAACAACTTATGTATTAGAATGCTCAACTAAGGAAATAAATTTTAAAATAAGTTGATCAATTAATTACAAACCTGAGTCTGTTCCATAATAATTAATATTTTCAGAATTGAATTTTAAATCCTCAATAATTTTAGATAAGCAATCAGTTGCAATAATAGTATCAATATCTATTAATTTAATTAGATATTCCATCATGAAATTGCTATCTAAAATTAAATTTAATTTACTTACTTTTAATCCCATTTCTAACAACAACTTCTGGAACAATAATAATAAATGCTTATCTCATTATTTAAATACTCAAATCGATTTCAACAAGCATTTATTATAATTATTCAGGTAAAGTTGAACAATTTTTAATTGCACTTTTCAATATGACAGCAGCCCTATATCTAATTTCTGCATCATAATTTCCAATAATAACAGAACATAGATGAATCAAAAATTATGTATCTTAACTTAATTCTTAAGCTCGTTTATAAACTTATTTTTAAATCTAATTGTCTGGTTAGGCTGACCATTATATTAATTCAATTATTTAATCCATAATTAAATATATATATTAATTATCAATATTTGTATTTAGTTGAATAATCTTTAGGAGCAATAACTAAACCTTTCCTTTTCTGGCTCCTCAATAAATTATTTCAACAATATCAATAAACTCTTACTTATCATTCATAGCCCAATTTATTTTATTATTAATACCTGTTACCAAATCAATCATCATATGTTTATTTCTATAAAAAAACATTGCTGTAACTGGATCATATAGCTCATACATTGTATTAAAATCAGGAACTTTAGTTATATCTACTAAATAGATGACTGCAAACTTTTTTATTTTTTCAGGAGATTTGTAAAGTATTTCATCCATTTACATACATTAAGGGATCCCTAAAATATAAATTTAAATTCTTTTACCAATCATGTCCAAAACGAATGATTACTAGTTTCTCTTCTTCATCTAAGATGGCTTGATCAACTTCCAAACTGGTATTTAAATGAGGTAGAAGGTAAGACATTTTAAATTGTTAGTTATAAATTATTAAAAATTAGGTCATTTTTTATTTACTTTTTTTTCTCTCTATTCTTAATTTTTAATAAAAGCAACAAAAATTTGTTATTCTCTTTATTTTTTTTCAGCTTCTATTTTTTTTATAGCATTTAATCCATCATTTTCTTTTCTTATAGTTGTTGGAGAACTATGTTCAACAGATGTATTTAAAATAGCTTTTGTAGTTTATTTATTCCCTTTAATTTATTATGCTTTATATGTTTAACTATAAGATTGTGATTCTTATGACTATCTACCTCCCATCAGATTTTTTTATTTAGACAATAATAATGGTGTTTAATTATTTGATTAATTGGTATTAATAATAGGAGATTAATTAATTTATGTTGTAGGTTATACTTATTAAGTCTATTATTAATTTACTAATTATTTATATAATTTTTGTTAATTAGGCATAGATTATGAATGATCTTATATTGTAATATTATTCTAATTTTATTTTAACTATTTATCCTCATGTTAATTTTATTATTCTTATTGTTTATTATTAGTTTATTATTTTTTTTATTGTACTTTTATCTAAGATTCATCTTTTTTTATTTTTTCAGTAGTTGTTATTAAATATTCTTACAAATAATATTCATCTTCTTTATCTGATAAATCTTATTCAAGTAATAATTCTTTAGGATCAAATTCTTTTGTAACATTTCCTAAATCTTCCCATTTTATTAAATTATTAGATTTTTCTTTTTACTTTTGTAAATTTTTTGCTGAATTTTTCGGTTTCTCTTAAAGAGAAGTATTATTAGGATTTACAACTGGAGGTTCATACTTATAACTTTCAGCTCTGGGTTTTGGTTTAGATGGAAGAATCAATCGACGAGAACATAACTTTTCTTAAGTCAAAATTTCACTTTAATCTTTTGTGTTAAATGGTTTACCAACAACTACCATTTTTTTACGATAATTTTTTGGATCATGAACTCCTAAATAATCATATAATGCTCTTAATGAGTTATCTACAGGGAATATTACATCAGCTATCTTTATTAAAGCAATTAAAAAATCTTAATATGATAATTCTTATATGCTTGAACATTTTTTAAATATTTCTACTAATATTAATTTTGTAACAATAAAGTTCTCTTTTTCTTTATGTTTATATTTTATTTTATTGAAAGGTTTAGTTGCAGCTGAACCAGTATGTTAATAGATAAAATCATTATTTATTTCCAAATCTATTAATTCAAAATCTTTACAAAAATACATAAATTTTTGTAATGTCATTACTTATTGTATTTAATGAAGTTAATCAAATGTATTTTATTTATTTGAAGTTTAGGCTTATTTTGAGTAAAATTTATAAATTTCTTTTAAATTTGTATCTACAATTTTCTCATAACTTTTTTCATTTTCTTATTGAGATAATTATAAAGGCTTAATAATTTGTTTATTTAATTAATAAGGATCATCAGATGAAAGTTATGGTGACCTTGTTTTGGGAGATTTTAAAACTTATTTGAATTTTTCCATAACTTCCTAAGTTCTTAACATTTTATCATTATTTTAACCATCATCTTCATTTTACTTAATATCTGTTATTTCAGTTGGAACTTATTTTAGGATAATATTTGATTAATTTTCTTCCTTAGCAATTTATGTCTGATTATCAGATCTTTTTGTTTAATTTTTATCAGGTAGATCTTAAAATTCTTAAACTTCAGCATTTTCCAACATTTTAGATTAATCTTAAAGAAAAGTTTATTCTGCCTCTATTCCTTACTCTTATAAATTTGATTAATCAACTTAATTCTCTATTTCATTAAAAGAATCTTCATGATTCTGGCTTTTGCTCAAATCATTAAAATCATTATGATCTTCCTAATCATTGTTTTAAATTAAAAATTCATTTTTATTTTAAGAGGAACTTTTCCTTTTAAGTTATGAATTATTTAAAGCTTATGATTACACAGTTTAATTGCTTTATTTTTATGAGTGTTAACTTTCAGGATATAATATTGATCTATTTGAATATTCTTGCTTATGATTTGATTATGATTAATTGGAATCTTAAACATCAGATTAGTTTTCCATAATAAAAAATTAATTAATATTCGATAATTATTTGTAATATCTATAACATAAATTCAAAGCTTTTAAGAAACTCTATTTAGCTCTTCTTTTTTCTATTATAATCTCTCATTTTCTAATTTTTATTATTCTTGAAGTTTTTCAATTAACTAATCTCTTAGGATCAATAGAAATTCTCTGACTGTCATCCAAATTTGAATTTTAATTTAATTTTATTAATAATTATGTAAAAAATATTAAGAACTTTAAATCCTTTATTTCGATTTTCAACCAAAAAAGCACAAAGAATATAAAATAAGATTTAAGATATTAAAGATCAAGAATCAACTTCAACACTTGAAAGTGTAGCAGAATAGAATACATTCACTGATGAATAATTAGTGAAAATAATTGAAGATAGAAAGAAATTTATTAGAGAATTAACATAAGAGACTAAAACTCCTAAAGAAGTTAAATATATAACATTAGCTACTTTGAGTCCTTTAATTTTATTGTCATCAGCTACCTTATATTCTTTTATTAATCCAGCCTTTGCAATTTATTCAGGTTAATTAATGCATGCATCATTAAAATATGCATCAATTAATCTGGCATTTTAAGTTAAATCTATTTTTATTATATAGGCTGGTATTCATTGGGGATTTGCAATGTCATAGCATGAAACTTAATTAGATTGGTTAAATAGTTCATCTGAAGCTCGAACAACTTTCTTTTTGGCTACTATACCTATAATTGGAGCCATTTTAGTATCTTAATATTTTCTTTATGGAAATAATGATAATATTTAAGCAATTTCAGCAACTATTGGAATCATATTTTTGAATTTAAGTAAATAAAATTTATAGTTTTTAGTGGTTTCAGGTTTAGACATTAGATCAAGAAATTACACACCTGGATGGTTTTTGAAAAATAAAATGTTTTATTCAATTGGTTTTCATGTAGCATTAATACCACTAATATATTGTCTCTTTATTTATGGAGATAATTTCAAAAATAAAGAAAGTATTTATAGAGTATTATGATTTTTAATATAATGTAACAGATTAATTTTAAATATGTATGAGTCATTATTACTTATTAATTGCATCAAATAACAATTAAATAGATTAGGCAAGTTAAGAGTTAGGATTTTGTTCATTTATAAGTTAAATGGCCTTTAATTTCTTAAAGTATTCATTTCTCTCTCTCATTAATAAAATATATTATTTTTTTAATTCACTTTCATCTCTATCAACACACTATTAATAAAAATTTAATGAATACTTCTTTTAAATTTTACAATTTACCTAGCTTTCTTAAAATTGCAAGAGAATTTTCATCATTCTATTCTTATAATTCTTAAATGTATTATGGTATTAATTTCCACTTTTAACTCATTAATTTATTAATTATATGTTTCACAGACAAATAAAACGACCCCAATCAGTATGTATAAATTAATATAATTCATGAATTTAGGCAATCAAATATGAACCTTAGGGATATAAATAAAAGTCATCAAATGAATGTTAAATTTTAATGCCAAGTGCAATACAGTATTTTTCAGATTTAGATTCATTACATCATGTTACAAATAATTTTCTTAGACCTCAATCAGCTGTTTCTCTTTATTAGAATAAAAAGATAAGTAGCTCAACAATGGTTGATAATAAATAAGTTAGTGATACAAGATTAACTGATCCAAGATAAACACCAAGATATATAAAAAAAGATAAAGAAGAATTATACTAAGAATTGTTATAATTATAAAAAAAGTATAATTAATGTTAGGATGAAAATACTAAATTAAAAACTTAAATATCATCATTAGAAAAATAAGTTGTTCATTTGACAGAATTAGTGAGAAATGTTGAAATGTTTTGTAATAAAAAAACAAGTCATTTAAATGTATTTTAGCTTAAAAAATAAATATAAGATCTCAAAACACTTATGAAAACAAAAGATCAAGAATTGGAATAATTAAAATAAAATATTAAGACTACTAAAATTGATGAGATTAGAATAGAATTATAAGAATCTCATATAGAATGTTTAAGATTAAGAACTATGCTTGATCAATAATTAAGATAATAAGTCTTATTTAATTATAATGATCATACCTTAATAGAAGAAAAATTATATATATAAAGTTAAATGATGAATTAATTAAAAACAGAAAATGATTAAATGACAGGACTACTTAAAATTTAGGAAGAGGAAACATATTATTATAAAAATTTATTAGCTGAAACTTTAAAAACAGTCAGAAGATATGAAGAAACCATAGAAGATTTACATAAGAATTTAAAAGAAAAAAATTAATTTATGGATAAATTGGCACAAAAAATTGAAGCATTAAAAAACACAAATAATGGATTGGCTGATAAAGTAGTTAAAGTTGAAGATTTACAAGAAATGATTAGAATTTTAAAATCTACTATAGAAGATTAAAATAAATAAATTAAAAGTGTTTAATCTGATAATGAATACTTAAAAGGAATGGTTCATGAATTAAAAATTAAAAATAATGAGAAGTCAGAAATTTAAGCTAAAGAAAAAAAAGTTTTATAAGAATAAATTGCTAAAATATCAAATTAATATGATTTATTGGATGATAAATATAAGAATTTATTATTAATATAGGTTTAAGCAAAAAATAAAGAAACTGCTTAATCATCTTTAATTCATAAAAAAGAGTAAACTGTAGGTTTAACCCTCAAAAATAACAATGATAGTTTTTAATAACAATAAATTTATGTACCCAAAAAATTAAGAGCCATAAAAATGAATGATGTTTTGCATATTGGAGAAGAATTAAATTACAGATTTAGAATCAAAAAAATAATATTAATAGATGTTATAGAATAGTTTTTATTTGATGATGATAATAAAAAAGAGAAAAAAGTAAGTATCAAATAGTTACAAAAGAGATTTGAAAAGGAACCATTCATGTTATTTGAATAAGATAAAGCATTAATGTTTGCAAGATTCTTAATAGAAGATAATTCTTAAGAGTTTGTTGAATTTAATATTGAACTTACAGAAACTTTAGAAAGAGTGAAAAGTATTTTTACTAAGATAGTTGGTAATTATAGAATATTTACTGGAGAAGAAGAAATGAAACATAAAGAAGATATTACTAAACTTATTATTAAATATAAAAATTCTCTAAAATAACATTTCGATTCTCTTTAAAGTAATAATGGAGAATTAACTAAATAATAGATATTAGAGACTTTTATTTTTATGGACATCGATATTAATAATTCTTAACTCGAATACTTTTTCTTAAAGCTTTTTGTTTTTTCAAATAAAATTGATAGATTTCCATATTAAAAGATTTTTGAGATATTTTAAATAACTTAAACAGTATCTGGTATTATAAATAGAATTTATTTTAGCTCCTCATTTATAAAGAAAAGAGACTCAAAGAAAAAAAGTAACGACTGAATCTAATAAACAGCCTGTTTATGTAACAAAAAGTTTATTCAAACCAGTTGAAGCTACTAATCTATAATAAGTTTGATTTAATGTTTTAATATATAAAATTAATAATTTTAATATTTGTTCACTATGTATTTTATATAATGCTGCCTAGAATGTGGTATATTGATCTCAAAAAAAAATTGAAAAAAACTTTTATTTGAATAAAATTAAAGAAATCAGTTAAAAAATTCTAGAAAAACAATATAAGAAGTAAGCTCAGTATAAATTAACTTTAAGCTAAAATGATATTTTTTCATCTTTATCTGTCTTACTGAAAAATAGACCTAAAATATAATTTCAATATAATGACCTTGAATTATTTTTATAATATTGCTTAAATAATTAATTATTAAATATTTAATTTTCTTCAAAAAATATGCTGCCATAAATCTTATTAGTCTATATTTTTCTTTATGTTACTTTTTTGATTAATATTTTTGAAAGAAACAAAAGTTATTTTTAAATGTTTGTACCATTTTTCAAAAAATAATACTTTAATTATAAAATATTTTTTATTTGAATAAATTAATTATTATATATCGTTATGAAGAAAATTAATCAATAAATGCAAAAAATAGCAGGTCGTATTAGTTTTTAGGAATCTCCATAACGATTGGAAAAGAAAGCTTTAAAAAATTCTACTAAACCTGTTAAAACAGAAAGACCTTAATAAAAAGGAAAAACAAAATTATACGATTATTTTAAAAAAGAAAGGAATTCTTTAGCTTAAGCTGTTAATAATATTCGGGCAAAATTAAAAGGAAGTAAAAGTATAGATAATGTGTTCCTTTAAACTTAAAAAAGTGAAAGGGCAAAAACATCATAACCAAATGTAAATGATAAAATAAATAAAAAAATAGTAAATTGAATAGAGAGTATAAACAGATGATGGAAATAGTTCTAAAAGATTTAATTTAAAAACAAAAAATTTATCATTAGCAGCTGTTTCACTTGAAGTATTAATTAAAAAAATAATATTAGAAAAAAGAAAACTCAAAATAAGTATCAACTACTAAGTAATCTTATAATTAATCACCTTCTAATTAATAAAAATTATTATTAAATAAGTCAAAATTAAAAGATAAATATTTGTTTGATATGGTAATTTTAATGATTATATTTAATAGTTAAAAAATGCTCAAATGATATCAAATCAATATTAACAATACTTTAATTTGAAGTAAAATAAGTAATCTATATAATCAGACACCTCAACAAATCATAGATAATCAATCGAAGATATGTTAATAAGCTAAAAATCTGCAAAAGGATCTCCTCCACCTTATTCTTCAAAATTACAAAAAAAGACAGAAGGTGATTCCAAATCTCTTAATTAAGGTTATTCAAAAACTGAATAGACTCCTATGATAAAATAATAATCGAAAACTAAAATTGAAGAATAACTATAATATGATTCTAAAAAAAAACTTCAAATTGTTTTATTTTATAAACAAACAAAGTAAATTTGATTTATATAACTTTAGATATTACTATTTATATGATTACATAAATTAAAGAACAGATAATTTATATAATTTTCTGATTGAATAAATTGCAAGTATAGAGGTGACATCAGTAAAAGTAGAAGGGGGAGGTACAGGTTCAACAGAAGATTAACATATTTAAGAAGGTAGTTTAATTATTAATTTAGAATTGGATAAGATTTGCCAATTTATCACAGTAACAAAAAATATTCCATATGATTACTATTTATCATTACCAGATCTACCTTTAAATGTATTTTAAGGAATAACACTTGAATTGTAACCATAATATGCTTAGCCTTAAGTAACAAAGAGAGTTGGATTGAAAGATTTTAATTTAATAAAATGTATAGGAGTAGGAGGTTTTTCAAGAGTTTATTTGGTGAAAAAAAAAGATAATGGATAATTTTATGCTTTAAAACTAATTGATAAAAAATTTATATTTGATAATGCTAAAGAAGTGATTGTTTAAAATGAGAGAGATATAATGGTAAGAATGGAAAATTAATATATAACAAAATTACATTATGCTTTTGAAACAAGATTTTATATTGCTTTTGTTTTAGAATATTGTGCAGGTGGAGAATTGTTTTATCATTTGAGAAAATTAAAAAGACTTAGTGAATAAGAGGCTAAATATTATTTTGTTGAAATATGTATAGGTATGGCCTATTTGCATTCATAACAAATTGTATATAGAGATATTAAACCTGAAAATATTTTATTAGATTTATAAGGTCATATGATGTTAAGCGATTTTGGACTATCAAAACCAAATATGGAAGATGGAGAATTAGCTTATTCTTTTTGTGGATCTCCTGAGTATATGGCTCCAGAAATGCTAATGAAATCAGGACATAGTTATTTGGTAGATTGCTATTGCCTTGGAGCTCTTCTATATGAATTAGTTTCAGGATTACCTCCTTTTTATTCTCATAATACTGAAGAAATTTATAATTCAATATTAACTGAAAAAGTTTAATTTCCAGACTATGTATAGATCTCTGATCAATTAAAAGATTTAATAATTAAACTTCTTTAAAAGGATCCTAATAAAAGATTAGGATAAAATGGAGGTATTGTTGAAATCTTAACTCATCCTTGGTTTCATGATGTTGATTTTGAAGGAATTGTAAATTAAAATCTTCTACCTCCTTATAAACCAGAACCTTTGAAATATAATTTTGATGAAGAAGAATTTAACAAAGGAGATGCTGAATTTAGAAAATAATATACATAAAATCTTTAATATGAATTTTAAGTATATACATATCACATAATATTTTCTAGAACGTTGATGATGCAAATTATGAATTGGATAACTTTTATTATGCACGGCCTTAACCAGAATTTATAAATAGAACAAATTTAGTTAATACAAGTAAAATAGTTTCAGAAATAGTTTAAAAAGAATCATTATCTCCTAATAAATAAACAATATCAAAAGTTAAGGTAAATATAATAAAAAAAAGCTTTTAGCATTCACCTTAAGAAAATAAAAAAGCATTGAGACCTAATATAAAGAGTGAAGCTCATGATTATTTCAAAAAACATAATCTTTTGACAAAGTCTTCATAGATTCTTCAATAATCTTTAAAATTAGGTCATGCATATTCAAAAACCTTATAATAACCTTAAATGTCTATGCAAGATTTAAAAGTATGCAAAAAATAATATTTAGAAATTAAAATTATTATTTGATCAATCTAAATAGTTATTAAGTTCTGATAGAATGACTACAATTCCAGAACAGAATAATAAAAACGTAATAGAGAGACTTAAAACAGAATAATTTGGTAACCTACCTTCTCCAAAAACCACAACTCATACTACTGAAAATAAATTAGCAAAGTTTTCTAAATTATTTGGATCAGAAAAGAGAAAAAAATGAAAATGTATTGATAGTTTTTAGTGAACAAATTACTCATAGTATTATAATTAATATAATATTAATGTACTGATTTTGTGCAATATAATGTATTAATAATGCAATCATTTCTTCTTTTATTCGACTTTCTTAATATAAAATTCTAATTCTTTTCCTTCTAAAATATAACCATCAGCTCTTCCTGATTATCCTGGTCTTGATGTAATTCTTACCAATAATCTTTAATTGGTAAATTATTCTTAAACAAATGTATCAATAGCATTTTCCTTAGCTCTCTCTTCTAATTTCTTGATAAGACTTCTTGATTTTTTAACTTATTCAGGTTGTCCTTCCTAATTTTAAAATAATTAATACTTTCTTGTCTTTCTTCTTTGATCCCAATTCAACATTATATTTCTTTGCATACCATTATCTAAATGGAGTTGCATCTACTTAAACAATCACTCCTCTTGTAAGTGTCTTTGTTCTAACCAATTCATTATTTGATGGATGATAAACTACTTCAACAATTTTAGCTTTTTTAGCAACACCTTGGCTTCCCCATGAGAAATTGCCTTCTGATAAACGAAGAGCTCTAAATTTGAAATTTCCTCCTCGAACTCTTAATCTTCTTACTCTTTTTTCTCCTGATACCAATTTAGTCATAGCTGCTTATCTTCCTTTCTCAAAGGCTCTCTTTTTCTTATGGATTGGCATACGACCTCCTGTAAGTCTTCTTTTGTGTCTACTGTCTCTTGAAATTCCCATAATATGCTTTGTTAAATAAAAAAAGATTTTATTTAATTTTAAAATGTGCTTATATATTAAACCAAATAATTTTTTTATTTTACATTATTAATTTATGTCTTATATTATTGATCAATAGATACTTAAGAAATTCAGAGCCTTTTATTTAATATGAACAAATATACAAAATCAAATTTATTTATTTTCTGAACTTAAATTCAATCCTCATCATTCAAATAAATATATAGTTCTTAACTTTCTTAATTAATTTATTCTAAATTAGGATATTCTAGAATGCTCTTTTAAGTAAATATTCTTAGAACTTTTTGAAACAAATTATTGATTCCCATTGAATGAAGAAGACTAGGTAATCTTAACTTTTCAAGATGCTTCACTTTCAAAGTATTAAATTGATATATATATATTTCTGCTCTTCAATTATTTTACAAGTAAATATTGATTTGAATTTTAAGGTTTTTGAATTCTATTTTTCATTTTGGTTCTATTCTATTCACTTTTAATTGATAATATAATGACATTAAATTAAATATTATAATATTATATTTTTTTTTTAAATTTAAAAAGCAATGCCACAACCATTTTATTAATCTTCAATTTTTAAAGAGATATTGATAAATATCCAAGTAATTGAGAATAAAAATGAATATAATATGCTCATATATGTTAAATATAAAAAAATAATAGTTCATGAGATTACGTCATCGATCCCAGGAATTAATTGGTTTATGAACTTTATGTTTAGATCTATCGGTTACAAATTAAAAAATACAATAGACTTTGAAACAATTCTTACAGCTCAATATTGCTCATAGGTTAAAAGGGATGAGAAGGGATATATTCATTAGGTCTTTCAAATTCTAATGGAAACTATCTCAAATGTTGTCTTTAATTAATATTTTCTATTCTTAGAGATTTACTTTTTTTAGATTTTCTAACCATATGGATATTAGATTCGGTGGTAAATCTAGTATTTGATTGGTTATTGTTTTTTTATTAAATTCTAACTTTAGGGATATTGACATCAACTTGAGAATAGGAAATTTCATAGCTTAATAGTGGAGGTAATTTAAATTCTTCTTTAGATCTTTCTGCTGAAGATCCAAAGGCTTAACTATTTTTTCTTTATCTATGATATTCAATTTTGTAAGCATAAGGATTTGGTTTTGAAAGTTTTGTTTTATTTAATACAAATTTATGATAATTAGGTTCTGCATCTGTTGTCTCAGTATTTTAAGAAAGAAAATCATATAGATCTCTGAGCATTGATTATGATAATTAATGATGTATTTTTATAAAAATTTAGGGATTTGAATGATAAAAGGAAATGGTAGAATATAAAATAAGGAAAATAAAGAAAGTAGATAATTGATGGTGGTGTGAAGATTGAAGTAATTAAATACATAATAAATACAAATTAATTATAGTTAATTTCGAAATGTACACTTTGCAATCAATTATCTAGTAAAGAGTTTTGCAATAAATAAATAAGCAAAAACCAGAACCATTGGAATCCTTGTATATTACTTATGTAAATTGAATTATAAAGTTTTAGTCGTCAGCAACAAAAATAAAATTGCTTTTAGAAGATGCATCTTAAGTCAGAAAGGTTATGCAAGTAATTCCAATTTTAAGTAGGGTATTTAAAGCGTTCATCTTCAGAAATAGTAATCTGAAGCTTTGATTTCAAACAACAACAACAAAGAGGCTGCTTTGAAAGTTGATAATAACAATGTTATAGTTTAATTTAAGAATGAGGAAAACAAATAAAGTCCTTAGAAAGGAAGGTTTTTAGTAAGAAATTAATATAGCAGCAAACCATAATGTGAGAGTAAAATTACTCATTCATCTGTTGCTCCCAACAAATATCATAAAAATTAATTGTCTTTTGGGGAAGATGGAAAAAAGATTAAAGCAGAAGACATCTGGAAAAGAAGAAAAGATTATGATTAAAAAGTTAGATAATTTCATTTACCAAAAATTAAAGAATATAATAGATTTTAAAACAATAGTTTATAAAAACAACAATCTGGATAACACACTGCTGAAATTCAATTCTCTGACATCTTCAAAGAGGATTTTGATGATGATTTATTGTAGGAATACAATCAAAAGTAATTTAAAAAGCTATAAATTAGATATTATAAAAAATAACTCTATCTTTGGAATAAAAAATAGAGATAATTCGATATGGTTAATGATGATTTATTTGATTGATTTATTATTTATTTTAAATAATGACATCGATTAAGGAATAATAATAAAAATAATATTAAAATCTATTCGTTAGCCTTGCATTTTAAGTTAATTGAAATATGAAAATATATAAAAAAATTTATTATTAATAATATTTTATAAGCAAAAAAAATAAACCTCTTAAAATTAGAGAAACTATAATTTGATATCTAAATAAATAAATAGTAAATTCTAATCGATTATGATATTTCACTTACTTGATAAAAAGTTCTCAATTTATACAGAAAATAAATTTCAAACTCGAATCTTCTTTGTATTTAACAAAAAAAAGCTGAGGATCAAAATTATCTTTTACTAATATAGAATTTAATAGAAAATTGAATAGAAAACTTATCAAAACAAATGAAAAATATTTGTTGTTGTTATGAAATAATTGGATCCAAAAATAATGAATAAAAAACAAAAAAGATTTACAAGTAAATGAGGCAATATAGCAAAAAATAAAGTGTTACAACTATCTTACCTGGAAAATGAATGATTTGCAAATAACTTATATTATTAATTATAGTATATTTAATTAAGTTTTTATTAAAATATCTTTTTATTAATTGTTTATNGATTTCAAACAACAACAACAAAGAGGCTGCTTTGAAAGTTGATAATAACAATGTTATAGTTTAATTTAAGAATGAGGAAAACAAATAAAGTCCTTAGAAAGGAAGGTTTTTAGTAAGAAATTAATATAGCAGCAAACCATAATGTGAGAGTAAAATTACTCATTCATCTGTTGCTCCCAACAAATATCATAAAAATTAATTGTCTTTTGGGGAAGATGGAAAAAAGATTAAAGCAGAAGACATCTGGAAAAGAAGAAAAGATTATGATTAAAAAGTTAGATAATTTCATTTACCAAAAATTAAAGAATATAATAGATTTTAAAACAATAGTTTATAAAAACAACAATCTGGATAACACACTGCTGAAATTCAATTCTCTGACATCTTCAAAGAGGATTTTGATGATGATTTATTGTAGGAATACAATCAAAAGTAATTTAAAAAGCTATAAATTAGATATTATAAAAAATAACTCTATCTTTGGAATAAAAAATAGAGATAATTCGATATGGTTAATGATGATTTATTTGATTGATTTATTATTTATTTTAAATAATGACATCGATTAAGGAATAATAATAAAAATAATATTAAAATCTATTCGTTAGCCTTGCATTTTAAGTTAATTGAAATATGAAAATATATAAAAAAATTTATTATTAATAATATTTTATAAGCAAAAAAAATAAACCTCTTAAAATTAGAGAAACTATAATTTGATATCTAAATAAATAAATAGTAAATTCTAATCGATTATGATATTTCACTTACTTGATAAAAAGTTCTCAATTTATACAGAAAATAAATTTCAAACTCGAATCTTCTTTGTATTTAACAAAAAAAAGCTGAGGATCAAAATTATCTTTTACTAATATAGAATTTAATAGAAAATTGAATAGAAAACTTATCAAAACAAATGAAAAATATTTGTTGTTGTTATGAAATAATTGGATCCAAAAATAATGAATAAAAAACAAAAAAGATTTACAAGTAAATGAGGCAATATAGCAAAAAATAAAGTGTTACAACTATCTTACCTGGAAAATGAATGATTTGCAAATAACTTATATTATTAATTATAGTATATTTAATTAAGTTTTTATTAAAATATCTTTTTATTAATTGTTTATAGAGATTATAAATTTTTATTATATTCATATCTTTATCCTAACATTATAAATTAATTGTGAATTTGCTAATTAAAATGCAGTTTTAAATCATACTATATACTTAGATACAGTGATATTGTAAATAAAATTAATAGTAATGTAATATCTATAATTAATATAAAATTCAAAACAAATATCAGATGGACCCAAAATCAACTGCTTTTCATATTTATAAGTAAACACTAATTAAAAAAAATAATGAACCTATAACAAAAGTCTATAGTTACGAACAAAAAGATGTGAGTCTATTTGATTATCTCATATAGAAAATTGGATAGGGAGCTTATGGGAGTGTTTACAAAGCAGTTCATTAAGTAAGTAAACAAGTGAGAGCAGTTAAAGTGATAAATAAATTGAATATTAAATACAAAGATAGATTATTGAGTGAAATCACAATTATGGAATTATTGGTATTAAATATTTTTATTTTTAGGATCATCCTAACATTTTAAGATTGTTTGAAACTTTTGAAGATGCAGAGAATTTATATATGGTTTTGGAGTAAAAATATCAATTCAATTACTTGATAGAATCTGTTAAGGAGGAGATGTTTTTGATAAAGTACTTGAAAAGGGTTGTCTTTCAGTGGATGAAGCATTTAAAGTTTATATATAATATATGAGAGCAGTCAATTATTATTAAGGATTTAAAATAGTGCATAGGTATTAATTTTTATAATGTAAAGAGATTTGAAACCAGAAAACTTTTTATTTTAAAAGAAGAATGATATGAATTCAGTCATTGTTATAGATTTTGGAATTGCAAAAAGAGGAGTAGACAAATTAAAAACTAAAAGTGGAACAGTAAAATTAATAATTTTAAAATAGGCTTATTATGTTGCTCCAGAAGTTTTAGATGGATTATATGATTATAAATGTGATGTTTGGTCAGCAGGAGTTGTTCTTTATGTTATTTTATGTGGTTATCCTCCTTTTTATGGAGAGAATGAAAAAGAAATACTTATTGAAATCAAATCTGGAACATTGTAATTTGAAGGTTTATTTTAATATTATTTTTTAGGCGATGAGTGGTAAGGAATTTCATAAGAAATTAAAGATTTTATAAAATAATAAGTATGTCCAGCACAAAACAGAGCTATACCTAAAGATCTATTAAGTCACAAATTAATAACCTAATATAATTAAAAGTTTGTGAATGATTTTAAGCTTATTTCAATGTAAAACCTAAATTAATGGGTCAAATATCATCCATTAAGAAGATTGGCACTTTACTATCTATCAACATAAATTGATTCCTGCGATTTGAGCAACTAAAAGAATACTTTCTTTTTCATAAATTCCTCTTAAAGTGGATTGATCACATAACAAGAATTAGCTAGTTATTTGAAAGTTAATAAATAAGATATACAAAAATTATGGCCATATATTGATTGTAATAGTAATGGTTATTTGGACTATTTTGAATTTGTAGCATTAACATTAACTCCATAAGATTATCAAAAATAATTACAATTTATGTTTGATTTTCTAAGTTAATCTGAGAAGGTGATAACACAAAAAAGTATCAAATTTATTTTTGATTAAAATGCTAATTTAAATAATAAGTGGGATGGTATTTCAAATACAAAAAATTAGATTGCTTAAGTTAATCAACATGAATAATAAATAAATGTTAAAAACATTATTGATAAAGACATGGATTTTAATGCATTTAAAACAATAATGGGATGATTGAATAGAATATAATAAAATATATATTAATTACAATTTTTGTAATCAAACGATGGAAGCTTAAAGATTCCAATTCCTTTATTTTTTTTGTTAATTGCTTTCATAATCTAATTAATAAATAGAAAATTTACTTGCAATATATTTTTTGACCTACAAAACAAAGTAGATAATGATTCCTAAAAAGATAGTTTCAATGATAGCTTAGACCATCATTAAAGTTCCTTAATAAAGTTATCCACAAATAATTTCTTATTTCTAATCTTCAGTAATTTAAGTTGGAGTATTAGTTGTATTTTCTTATAATAATCTAGTTTTAGATAAAAAATTGTATTGTTATGCATATCCTTACATAAGAGCCCATACTAAAAAGTAAGTAATTAATCTAATAGCTAAGACTGCTGATGTCAAACATAAATATTTTCCTATTTCTGAAGATGATTTTGAATTTATGCCAAGAAATCCATAAGTTGAACTTGCAATCCAGAAAATATTTCCCCCTATTATAACTAAACATAGTATTGCATATGTATAACATGTTGTTCGATAATGAAAAAAATAGTATAGAAATCTTATACATTAATATATGAATGCACACTAAAGATTATTATTTGTTAGCTTACAATAATGAATATATTTGAACTTTACAAAAATCTAATTTTATCTTCAATCAAATCATTAAATTCTTCACAATCAGGAGGCAGCAAAGAATCTCCTTCTCGCTTTTTAATTATAAATGGTTTATTTTTTTCCATTTCAAAATTTATATTGAAAAAATTAATATTTATATTAATATGAATCAATTAAGAAATTAGAGAGGCACAGACACCGATGAAGTTTACATAGATCCAGAAAGAGGAGTAGCTATAAATGCTCGTTAAATGAGTACTGAATAGCATTTCAAATATTATAAATCCTCATTTAGTACAATGAGACCTGATTTGACTGAATATGAATATGAAGCATTTGCAAAGAGATTGAGAATTGGTAATTGAGAATTTTATTATCAAGGTGAATTGTTTTTAAATCATATGAGAGTATTTCTTAATCATGAATCAGGTAGAATTACAAATCTTTATCATATAAGTGCTAGATTGGATAAAGCTTTGGTATTTGATGCATTACTATAATAAAGAACTATTAATAATAATACTTCCAATTACGAACTCCTTTTATTTTGGGTCATAGAGCTAATGCTAATAGAAATTGGGCTGATGCATCAAAGGTTGTCAATTATGTTGAGAAACAATTATTAAAAATTACAAAATATGGTAACAATATCTAATTTATAATTAAAGGCTTGGATTATCCTAATTATTATGCCCCTAAAACTGCATAAGAATTGAAATAGAGAGAAGACGAAATTTATGAGAGATTTGTCAAAGAAATGAGAAAACCTCCTGTCGTTGCAGCTTAATGAAATTTATACAAATAAAAAATATATTATTATTTATATCTTTCTGTTAATACTTATATGATAATTCTATATGTATTTGTTATATCATTTCCTACTTTCTGAAAACATTTCAATTCAATAGTTAATTATAAATAAACCTAGAAAAGCAAGATATGGTTTTATTGAAATTAATTTATTAAATGTCTGAAACTATAATATTTATTATTATCTTAGTTATTAATAATGAGTAAGAAAGACAAAAGATTACTTTTTGAGGATGAAATCTCTAGTACTTAGACTTCTGATGGAGAGGATTATATTCCTAAAAGAATTATTTCTAAATCCAACACCAGAAGGATTCACAAAATTCCAATAGAACAACAATAATAACTATTTCGACAAGTTTTCCAGGAAGGCAAATAGATTAAAGAGGTTTTCTTTTACATAATAATATCAGGTTGCCAAAGCATTGAATCTAAATTACTCTAGTGCAAAATCTCTAATACATTATTATAAAAACAATAAACGATCTGCTCCCTCTGAAATAATAGATGTTTTAAATGGTAAAAAATCCCTAGTGTGCCAGATTTCTAATAAAATCGATAAAAAATATAATAATCTAAAAATAGAAGTCAGACAAAATAATCAAATTCTTCACTCCTACAACTATTATGAACAAAAGACAACTGATAAATGAAATATATGTTAATTTTATATTCTTGATTTCTTTAGATCTTTTCCTTTATCATTATTACATTCCCAATTAAATAATTTTATACGTTAATTAAATATCAAAATAATGAATTTAAATATAATAATTTTATGTTTTTCTATTCATTTGAGAATGTAATCCAATTACGAAAAAAGAAAAGAGTAAATCAATAATTGTCATAATTTTTATTCATAATCATTAAATAAGTATATTTTTACCTCCATACCTTTGTGGAATTGTTTCCTCATCTAAATCTTTCAACAATGCTTTCTTAATCTCACTAAAATCTTATCCTATAAAATTTATCTAAGAAATATCATTGATAAAACCTTTTCAACAGTTCTTGATGGTAAAAAGGGTTTTAACATAGCATAAAATGATCTAGTCAAGAAGTTTGTATTTAAAACATAAATTCTAAATTATCTCTCAGGATAGTAATTGAATATCTCTATAAATGCATTCTTCAATACACTGAAAGAGAAGTTTGCTGGTTTCAATTTATAGCAATCTATGATCACAATAAATTAATCTACATATCCTCTCATTCTATTTTTAATATTAAATTTATACGATCTTATGCCTTCTTCCATTAAACTTTAATGATATTATAAATAACCTTATTCTGAAAACCCTTATTCCGTTTCAAATTTCTCTGGATGTGAATTCATTCCATTTGTTACTAAAATAGGATGACCCCATCTTGAAAACCCTAATTGAGTATGCACATTCTCATTTGAATATATTTAATAATCAGAGATCTTTCTAGAATTAATATTATTTTCTTTTCTCCATTACTATATTAATTATGATTATATACTAGACATTTTAATATCATTTTTTCAGTATCTTTGACTTTGTAATTTCTTGCAATCAGATACCTTATCATAGTTTATTCATTCAAATACAAGTGACCAATTTTCTCTTTTAATTCTGATAAAGCTTTCAATTATTCTTCATTTTAATGTATGATCCTTTTGTGCATCTTCTCATATATTGCTGCTGGTTGATTAGGCTGTAGCATATGATCCACATATCCTAATCTATCTTATGGTGGAAAATGTATATTTTCACCTTTAGAAAATTCATTTTCTTAATTTTCTCCATTTGAATGATCTGTTCCTACTACAATTCTTGATTATGTAATTGGTATTTAATCATTATTTATTTATATTAATAGTAAATCTAATTCAGTTGAAATTATAGACAGATTAATTATTTATTCTTTAATTAATTTTTTTATTATTTGTTCATTTTCATCTTTTTTAACAACTTGCATATATTAAGTAAAACATTTTGAATCCTCTTCAACTACATGGATAATTTCCAATATTTTAAATATATGAATTTAATTATTTTTTGATTTTTTATCAGAGGTATGAATCATAGGAAATTAACTTTCATTTATAGATTCTCTAGTTAAGAAGAATGAATTGTTTCTCTGAAAATCAAACTAGATATATTTTGATTCTAAAATATACTTCTTACCATCATTATTAAAATGCCAAAAATCTTAATGATATTCAAATTAATCAATCTCATGGATATCAGAGGATTATTTAAATAAATCCAAATATTTTCCACCTTTCTATTTTAATTTAGTTAATTAATTTACTTTAATAATTGTGGCTATATTTGATAGCGAAGTGTTGAATATATACTCACCTTTCAACACAATATTATTCTAAGATTAAATTGTTGTTAATTTCATTTGTTTTAAAGTTTTCTCAATAACCCATTTATCTTTACTTAGTTCTTAGTAGAGTTGTAATTATTTTTACACATATTCTGGGATACTTCTGAATATTTAGAAAATTCTATATACTTAGTTACATTTGAAGAATCATATTTATATGATCGATTTTAATCTATAGAAATCTAATAATTAGACGAGCGGAACAGTGCTTCATATTCTGAAATGAGAATAGCTTATTTAATTTTATTAACCCATTCTGCTGCATCTTCATATGTCAAAGAAATAAATTGCATAATAATTTCTTATTATAAATGTCTGAGAGTAAATGTATAATAACCATCTTCTTACCAGGTGCCGTCAACAATGAATCCTGATAGATCAATTCTTTCTTATGGTATATGAGTCTGGTAATAATTACGAAATTACTTTGTCATCTTCAAAAATAAGAAATTGAGTGCCTTCCAAATAATAATATTTAGTAGTTTTTAGTCCAAATATATGTTTCTGTTATCTTAGCTTATTTTATTAAATTACAGATATCCATTTTTTATTGGTCTTTAATTCATTAATTTTAATAAGGTAATTTATAATTTATATTAAAAAAGATGAAAATATTGTATTTGATTTCTTTAATATACATAGGTTATGGTTTATCAGTATAGATTACCTTAAAACCTACATGTTTTTATGTTAAATCATATACAGGAAATACATATCTAACAGTAAATTATTAAATATCTGGTTTGGATGAAAATAAAACAGAAATTACAATTGAATCAGAAAATGGAGAAAAACTAGTTAAAAAATAATATACCAAAGAAGGAGCATTGAAATAGTTTTTAAGAGATAAGGGCACTTATTATATTTGTTTCAAAAGTTTATCCAAAGGGTATAAAACGGTGAGTTTTGATTTTGATATGGATGGTGTAGATAAAGAATATGCTTAATCAGAACAATTTAGTGATATGTCAAAAGAGTTGTCAAGAACTAATAGAAACTTTTAGACAATTTATAGAAATTAAAATTGGATTACTGATAGATAAAATGCACATTAAATGCGTAAATATTATAACAAATTTAGTATTGGAATAGACTTAATAAAATGTGAAATGGTGTGCATCAGCAAAAATAGGAATATTGTTAATAATAGCTATAACATAGATATGTGTAGTATATTATTTTTTTAAAGATAAAGATTTTAGCGGAAGAGTGTGAAATTTATGTAATTGATAGATATATATATATTTAATCACTTTTTCTTTTAAAGGGTTTGATTAGGTTATTATTGTTATTAAATAGCCTTTTGTTATTATTATTATTAAATAGCCTTTGGTTATTATTGATTAGGTCTAGTATAAGGTGTAGTATATTATTGTTGTTTATTAGTTTAAACTTTTTATTTTGGGAATGGTTTATCATTTCCAACTAATCCTTATTATAATTTTTAAGGCATTTATTAGTATTTTTAATCTTGAAAGACATGCTATTGAATATCTGGAGTAGTAGAGAGTGGAAGATAATCTTGAGAAATCTTTTTGCCTAAAGCTTTTCTTTCTGACTCATCTTCAAAAAGGGTTTCATGTAATTCCCATCTTCTATCACAAGCAATGCATGCAAAGTAAGAATCAAAATCAGAACATTAACATTTCTTACATCTTAATGGATAATTAGGAAGATGATCTTCACATCCATGATTACATTTACAAGGAGGTCTCCATGTTAAAATATTAAAATCTTTTCTACGAGGTAACCAATACATTCCACATTCTTCTGGTCTTGAAGGTACAAACTTAAATCTTTTACATTCACAATTTTCACATCCAGTATTAAATTTTTTACCAAGTTATTATTTATGTTAACTAAAGAGATGACCACAAAAACATTTACTTGTAGAACCTATTCTTGCACATTCAGATTTTTATTCTGCACAATAATAAGTAATCTTATTTATTCTATAATTTAATACATAAATTCCAGTATTCAATGATTCTAAAGCATGTTGATATTCTTAATCTATTATTTTTCTAGCACCAACAGCTGGTCCATATTTTTGTACGCCTTCACGTACTTATTATTCATTCATTGCCATATAATTGAACATTATTAATTATATAATTAATATTAAAAACATCTTCTTCATTTGGTCCATTCTTTTTTGTGTATCTTTGAGCTTGCAGGGACTCCAAAGGAAATATCATCCTTTTGTTACTCAAATTCTTTATCCTTGGAGCAAATCTACCTAATTAATTATTTAGAGTCTTCAGGAATTCTTCATCTGACAATTACATTAAACATTTATAATCATCCATTTATACTGTCCAAAATAAAGAACTGTATGAATTATAAAATTGTAATAAAACTAAAAGACAACTATGAAATTATATTGTATATCTTACCCATTAGACAAATAAGTCTAGTATCCTATTTAATTGTCTTCATCATTTCTTTCAACTGTAAAAACTATCCTCATCTGATTATTTGACTAACCTTTATGTACCTATATTACTAAATTCCTTCACTTTTGATTTAAGTCCATCACTACCTATTTATAATTTGCATTAAAATTTATCATTCACTTTGACATACTCATTTTCCACAACTTCAATCTTTTCTAATTTAGTCTCAAACTTTATCTCCCAATTATAAACTTCTAATAATCCATTTACTACATTATCATATTCAATAATATTATATGAGTTTATTGATTTTCAATTCCAAATAATCTTTCCAAATACTTTAATCCATTATTATTCTCTTATAAAGATTTACTCTACCCTATTAAATTTATCCCAAGCTCCTATTGATTATAACAATTTTCTTAATGGTTATATTACTAATATTATTCTTTCATTTGGAGGTCCTTAATTTTAAAAATATGGTCTTTTTATTGAGTCCAACATTATGACTTTACTTAATTTTCTTGATTTCTATAATGCAGCTCCAAAACACAATCCTATTGGGGAACCCCAATTATGCAAACATCATAAATTTACATTATTATCAATTCATTTATAGTATTTTATATTTATCTTTTTCTTACAGTTCTTTTTATTTAATATAATCATAAGAACGAGTCTATAAAACATTCATAATCCAATTAATTCAAAGCTGTACTATTATAATCAACGTATGGATTAGGTGAGTTAACTTTTGAATCTTAGAAAAATTAATCGATTCTAATTACAGATTTATTCGTCTACTGTACATCTTTTTTGTCTAATTAATTTAATAAATATTTACTTTCACTTTGCAGTTCTTCAGTAATTATTGATAACATTTATCCTACTTGCTTTAATTTTAATTCAACATCTGAATTTTAGTTCTAAATAAACTTAGAATATGAAATTATTTATACATAACCTAAATTTTAAATTTATTCCATCAACTATTTAGATGTCTCTTGTAAAACTTTCATATCTTCCTTTAATTATTTATTTGTCTATTTTATATCTATAGCAAACCCTTTAAATTAATCCTATTACTTTTGTAAATGAAACTCTATTTGAATTTGTAATTATTTTACCTTGCTCTTCTTCAATCTATAGAGGAATCACTTAATGTTTTTGGTTTTTTTTTTTAATATATTGTAACATCTCTCTAAAATATTTAAATGTTCAATACATCATTCCCTTTCGGAAAAGATTATGTTTAAAAATGAATCCATCTTAGGACCTAACTTTCTAAAAACCATATATATTTAATTATCTAAGTTTATTAGGATATCTTACCTGACAAAACTAGAATAATTACTATGTTTAAAAAATTTTTTTAAGACAATTTTTTCCAATTGCTCTTAATTATTTGTAGCAAAAGCTGTTCCTTATTCTACCCAGCTTATAATATTTTGACTAATTTAATCCTAATAACATCTTGACTTCAGGTATCATACCTCCAACATTTAATACGTTTTTAGAATGAACTTAGGTATCATATTCTTTTTACTCATTATCTATCCTAATTAGAAATTATTAATTTATCATTTTTTTAAGTTATTGATTTATATATAATATGAATTATACACATGTTTACTTAATCAATCTGAATCTTCTTCATCTTCTTATTGTATATCCTTTTACATAAATTGTGAAACCCATTGTTCTGCTTGCTCTTTTACTTTTTAAATAGTAGCACTGTCTCCATATTAGTTTTCATATTCTAATTATTTCTTAAATAAAAATTTAATCTTTCTTGGTTTCTTATTATTGTGTATTGCCTTTTAAAATATTGATCGAACCACATCAGGTTAGCAATATTTAATGACTAAATCTAAATATTATGACCATATATCAGTTCTAATCATATTTTAAAGTATTTTTACCTAGTAGAATTCTTTTATAAAATAGTTTCAAATGTGGTTTTTCCTTCTTCAATTTAATTATTTTAAAATTGCAATCTAGCATAAAAGGATAAGAGTTTAACTTATTTAGTTTTTTTCAAACTTTACATAGCCCTATTTAATGTATCTTTAAATGAATATTAAGGATTTTCATCATCATGTAATTTTTACCATTCCATTAAACTTTACAAAAATTCTATCCAACTTTTGCAACTTTATTTATATTTTTAAACAAATGACTATAATAATATATAAATGAAAGTATACTCTTGATAATTCAACAGTTAAGTCAACTTTTTGTGCTTTCCTGTAAATATTGATCAATTTTATGTGAAGTTTCTTTCCATCACAATTTTAGCAACCTCTCTTAAATACATTAATTAAATTGTCTTCAGATCCAAAATTGAATTCTAAATTTAAATAAGCTGTCCATAAATTCAATCTTTCTAATTCATTACTGAAATTAATAACTCTTAATGCTCTTTCAATAACATTTCTAGCACTTTCTATTCCTTCATTCTCAGCAGCATAAGCTACAAATTCAATCCAAATAACAGAAGAATTAGGATTTGTTAATATTTTTCTAAATATCATAATATTAAAATTACTTTTCATATTCAGCTCTTGATTCTAAATTTTAAACTTCTTCTCTAATTTCTTATTAATCATTTTCTTCTTCAATAACTTAATTGTTTTATTATTCTTCTTCTTCAACATCATCCTCCTCTTGTTCATTATCTTCACCATCATTTACTTCCTATTATATTTCCTCTTCAATTTATTTATCTTAATTTTATTGTTCTACTACAACATTATTTTTTATTTAATGTTATTTAATCATCTCCTCAAAACTTTCATGTAAATCAATCACTTCCTATTAAATATCTCCTAATTCAATTTTCCTCTTTCCTTCAGTATTAATCAATTCTTAAATATTGCTTAATCTTAAAACTGTCTAATTATTTTTATTCTATCTTTATCCTATTACTAAACATTCTATTTATTATCCAATCTTAAATAACTTATTAGCCCACCAACCATCTTCTCCTTCCAATCCTTCAGCATCCTTTTTATCCAACTCTCCTTATTAAAGAGTTCCTAAAATTTTCACTGCTGCCTTCTCATTTCTTATATTTACTATCAAACCCTATACTACATCTCCAATTCTTAATTATTTATCATCTAATTTATATTTAAGTAAATTTAAATCTACCGTTCCCTATAACTTATTTAATTGAGTAATCATTAATACTATTGGTCTATACTTAATATCAGTCTTAAATCCTCTTATTAAACAAGTTGTCTCATAGTTTAACTTAACAAAAGTACCATTATATGTACTTCCAGTAACATATCCCAAAGCTACTTAACCTATAGTTAATGGAGTTTTTTTAAATAGTTATGTTCTGACATCATATTTTAGAGACAATATCATTTTTTAATAAGAAATTGTATTACTCTTAACTGGATGGAGACATTTATTCCATAATTTATCATTCAAAAATGTTTCTCTAGCACTTGCCCAATAAACTTTATCTTTTGCTATTATTCTACACTCTCCCCATTTTCCAACTGGGAATTATTCAAATAAATTTAATTCCCATAATTCAGATAATTCTGTAATGTCAATTGATGCAAATTATCTATTTTTTAATTACACTCTTATATATGAATCATGATGACTCAAAATTCTATAAATTTGCTTTGTATATAAAATTTCACCTATATTTTATTACAATTATTGATCATCTTCATTAATTATTATTCCTTTCAACTGCTTATCAAATTCATACAACTTCACTTTGACTGGTTATCCTTATTAAATTTTTTATTCTAAATTATTTAAAATATCCGGCTATTCTACATCAATATCCCATCCATCAATAAAAACATTGTAATTATAATAAATTTATACAACTAAAGGTGATTTTGCATCACTTTTAATGTGTTTTATTATGCCATAAACAATTTTATTGCTATCTTTTTAAACATCTTTTTCTAATTCTATATGATCTGATAAACAAGTCAAATCAAAGATTTATTTGTTATTTTCTTTATTTTCTCCAATTATTGAAGCTATTAATTAAGAACCTACATTCAGATTCTCAAATTCACTTTATAATTTAAATAGTCTATCATCATTTCTATAACACTCGAAGAATGCCTTATGAATCCTTCCAAATTTACCATCTGGAAGATTAACATAAACAACATTATTTTTTATTGCACTTACAACGCATTACACTTTCTCTCCTAAATTTAACTTAGTTTTAATAAGCTTTGTTAATTTAACATTTTATGTTTAAGTTTCATTAACTTATTTTTATTTTGGATCTATTTTTTTTAATGATAGTAATAATTTATTATCATTTTAATTTACATATTTAACATAGACTTTAATAATTTAACCTATTTTGATATCATCAGGATTTTGCCCATCAAAACTCAAATTGGACAGAAATCCTACAATATTTTAAAAGAATTTGACTAGAATTCCATTTTCTAATTTTTTAATAGTAAATCCATATAATGTATCTCCAACATTAAGATCATCTAATGATTTAAAAACTTTAATATCAGTAAGTAAAGTAGGTTTCATAGTTACTATAATATTATTATGCTATTCATCAATTTATAAAATTCTGACTCTAATTTTACTGCCAATTCTAAATTTAGGTGGGTTAGTTAAAGGATAATCTGACATCTAGATAGATGGTAAGATAGCATTAAAATTTTCATTAATTTTCAATAAAACACTATATGAATCCTCTTTCAGTAACACTTATTTAACAACACCTTTAACAATAGCTCCAATATTTAAATCACTTAATTTTGGTTTAGAATTAACTTCAAAAGATACGAATCCAACATGATCAAAGTAGTTAATTTCTTTTATTATGCAAATTCGTTAGATATGATCAATGATTTCTTAATCAGCTGGAATTTAAGTTTTATTTAACATACAAATAGGCCCCAAATTAGGCAATTTAGCTTTTAAAGCTTTTTTACTTTTTTTGGTTTATACTTAATCATCATTCAAGATAGCATTAACTAAATAAGCTCCAGAATATAATGGTTGATTTATTACAATACCTTAATATTGTTAACCAATTTCATAAGGAGGAATGTAAATAATATTCTCGATATGCTCTTGTTTACTAGAAAGATAAATTTATCTTGAAGGCTCATCAAATCCAATTATTCTACATAATATGTTTTTGTCTTGTTCTATTTGATAATCTTAGAAGACATATCCTAAAACTCCAAATTTGTTTAATTTAACAATTTGTCCTCCAGTAATAGATTTTGCATTATTGCATTTCCAAAGATTACCAGGATTAAGTAAGTATTTAGATATTTATTTCTTATTTTATAATTAAACATCTCTTTATTCAAAATCACATATTACAATTTTTTCTTTGTAATTGATTTCTTTGATATTAAAGATATAAACCCTTCCACATTTGAGTTTTTACTCATTTATAAATCCACTAAATTATTAAGATCCAAAATTAATAGTTGTTCCAAATTCATTCCAAGTTTAGGCTATTCCTGGTATTTACATTCCAATAACTAATTAATTAACACTTAGTTGATCATTAATAATATTAGGATGTAAACTTAATTAAATTTTGTTACTTTTTTGTTCTTCAATAACTTTAGTAATAACATATTCTCCAATTTTATAATCCCCTCCATTAATATTTTTTCTATCTCTAAGATTATGTTAATCTACGAATCCTTTTTTATTTCTAGTAAAATTAACTATTAAATATGCTCCATTTGGACCAATAGATGATACACATCCTAAATGTAAGGATCCAATATCAAAAATCTATTTTATAAACATAATCAATCATACTTGCTCTGGTATTTTTTATGTCATATTAAGTATTTTTTGACTTTTCATTTGAAAATAGCCTAAAATATCTTAATCTAGATCTCCTAATGCACCATAATCATCTTAATCTAAAATAGGTTAGTTATTCTAAGGACCATCATCATCACTAGATATGTACTCAGCTAATTAAGCTCTTCTTTAGAGTTGTTTTTTTTCTCTTTGTTTTTTCTTCTTTAGCTTGTCTTCAGTCCCCTTTTCGTTTTTATATGTAGGAGCTGGGTTAAACATGTATTTATCATCTTTCAGTGCATCAATCACTTTTTTTTTCATTAATTAAATTTTTAATAATATGTAAACTATTTAAGATAATTCATCGACAATATTTGCTCCTGTAATTAATGAAGCCTAAATTACAATAGATATGGATGATAGATAATCAAAGTAATTTAATATTCATATATTACTTTAGATCTCAAATTCCAGTGAACTATCATGCTAATATGAAAAGAGTACCAATAACAGTTGTATGTCCTTAATGTAAACAATAAGGAACAACTGTTATTATACGTGAGGTTGGAGCAGCTACCATAATTGTTGGTTATTTACTGTTTTTATTAACAACGTATAGTTAATTATTAATTATACAGAATATTTTGTTTTTGGATCCCTTGTTGTGTAGATGAATGTAAAGATGCTATACATTAATGTCCAAATTGTAAGGCTGAAGTAGGAATAGGTCCCTATTAAATTCTTTGACTTATAAATTAGTTAATAGGAAAAATCTCTATCATTGAAAATTTTCATTTCTTTAAATAAAAATAATAAGTTTATAAATGCTCTCTCCAGAAAAAGATTTCATTCTCTATAGTACTTAAAAACCTCCAAATATGTAAGTTCCAAGTTTTATGACTACTGCTTCATCATTTAGAAATCAAAAGTTATCTAGCTTAAGGAATAAAAGTTGTGCCACTGCAGTCCCAGATGTTGTAATTAAAATATATTAATAGAAGAAATAAATATCAACCATAGATTATTAAATTTGTGATAAAAGTGAACCTATCAATCTTAAGAATGCTTGTTATCCTAAATTCAAATCAGAACAAAGTGAAATATCTCATATTGCTAAATCATAAATTAGTACAATCATAACAGCACCTAAAATTATATAATTCATTGATTTTTGCAATAAAAAAATATTAGATGATGAACTCAAAAAAAGAAAACTTAGTTAAGATTAAACACATAAAGACATGAAGTTTAAAATCAATAATTATCATGATAACAAGAAATCTATCAAATTTACATAAAAATATACACGCAGCAATTTCACACTTCCTTAAATGAATTATAATGAAAAATGTGAAACACAAATCATTTCAGAAAAAATAAATCACAATAAAATAGATACAACATCATTTAATGATTCTCCAGCACCAAAATTAATACACAAATAACCAAACTTTTAAGCTTACACTACTAAACAATCAATTAGAAGTTTTGATATGCTATTTAATGTTAAACATCTAGTGAGATTATAAGAAAAAAGATAAAAAGAATTTGAAGAAACCCAATAAAATGATCCAGAGTTTTAATTAGAAATAATAAAGAGATAAAATTAAATTTAGGTTTTAATGTCAAATACGAAGAAACTTGAATAACTTAAAAAAGCATCAAAAGGAGTAATAAATTTCATTAAAATCCTTAGATATTGTCTCATATCAATGAATAAGATAAATAAGCAGAATAAATATTTTAGGATTTCAAATATAAATTGGATTTAAAATGATACTCTTTTGATTTTCATTTTGTTTTTTATTAATTCTTCCAAAATTATTTTGATTATTTTTATGACACACAAGTAATATTTTAAGATTTATTTTAAAGAAAAATTTACAAGAATTAAGTTTGATTATATACAACAATTTTTTTTATCTAATTTCAACAAAAAATCAAATAGAATTTGTATGATCATAGTTTAAATATCAAAATTAATGTTTTAATTCATTAAAGATAATTTGAAATTAATGAAGCATAAATTATTACTAATTATAGGGTAAAATACAATGAATATGCTTTGCTAATTCTATTTTGGATCTAGATTCTTAACTTTTGACTTTTTACTTCAAAATCTTAAATGGCATTGAGCTCTGAAGGATAAGGAGATAGAAAAATAGTTATAATTTTCGATTTTAATGGATGTATCATAAATTATTTATACACAAAACATCATAAGGATTAAGACCTCTAAGTACAAAATGAATAATAATATAAATTCTGTCAATAAAACTCTATTTTAGAATAATTAAAACTTCAAAAAATTTTTAATCCTAAGATTTATAATAAAACTTTAATTAGAAATTAAAAGAATGTAATAATAAAAAATTCATGAATTAGGCTAAATGTGAAATATTAATAAGCAAATAAAAAAAACTTTACTTTTTTTTTTTAATTTAGAATAAAAATAATTCAAAATTTAATAATTTTTATGATTTCAAAATATAGTTGGAGTTAAATTTTGGAAAGAACTCTTCTGTTTAGAACAATGCGAAAATACTTTGAAAAGAAATCTTTTTGAATTGGGCTTTAAATCTATAAGAATACATTTTTTACATCTTCGGCAAATTTATTGCAATCTTTATCTAATTAGGTATTAGATACCAAATGCCAATATTAAGATTATTTATTCATTGGATATAATTATGAATTCTGAGTCTTAATTTGCTACATTATTTTATTATTTAGCTAAGTATGGTATGTTTCTTTACACTAGTTCAATCGATAAAAATCAAATAGTAAATAAATTAAGGTTGTTTGATATTTTTAATAACGAAATTCAAGGAATTGATATGATTTTATCAATCTACTATTAGTGTATAGGAATCAATCAATGTAATAATTATTTTTTTCATTCTACCATTTTTTTAAATGTAAAACAATCAAAGAATCATCTCTTTAAAAAGGATATTTATCTTATTTACAAAGAGAAAAATCTAAAACATTGATTTAAATATTTGTACTAGAGAAATAAAAATAAATAACTATAAAAAAATTCATTTGAGAGTTTTACTTATTTCAAATATTTTTGCGCAATATGGCTCTTTTTGTTTATCTTTTGTCATGATATTTTAAAGTTATTATTAGTTAAATCTTTCAATTTATTTTAACAATCTCGTCCTTTCTAGCAATAAAAAACAAAACCTACTGATATCTACTAAATTTGCTGCACATACATCTTATTCTAATTTTGATTTCCAAATCTTTAAATGAGAACGAAACTTTTCTAAAAATTATTTGATGTTTTCATTTTCTTTAAAATTAGTTATTGAAGATAAATAATTTAACCAAGTCAAATTTTTAACCTCTTCAAATATTTAAATATTAATTTTTTAAGCTTTTTAATTATCAAATTAAAAAATTTTTTGAAATATCTCTAAATAGTCATATATTGTTTTAAATCCTCGTAAGCCTTCTAAATCCAAAACACTATCCAGATTTTCTCTTTTTATAGATTCAATAGATATTTTACTCAGAATGAAACGAATAGCTATAACCTAATAATTTTCCTCAAGTCTTTAGTTATCATTTTAAAATTCATCTTGTATTTATCTATATAATTCATAAATTTCAAATATATCAGAATATTTATGATGAGATATGAGAAACTCTTAATATGAAAATTAATCATCCTATTCCTAATAGTGATGAGAAAATGACTCAAAATACTTTAATTTCTTCTCGTCATTATATTTTTCAAATAGATTATATAAGAGTTTCTAATATATTGTTGAAATTGTATAATATTTTAATATATTAATATCTTTCTATTTACTTTAAATATATTCAAGTTTTTAAAGATTTTACCATTAAAATTACTTTGGAATCATATATTCCATCATTCCTTATACAATTTTTTTTTATGTTAATTTTACTATAAAATAATTATTTTCTTCTAAATAATTTTTCATGAATAATTTAATATTTTAATAAATAGAATCTAAGCATTAAAATTTTAATTTATCAAAAAATATTTATAACTAATCTTCATCTAATATATCGTAACTTTTATTTACTTTTGGGCAAATATAATAATCAAAAATTTCTTCAGTAGATATCTGCTTCATCTAAAATAAACAAAATATATTTAAAAGTTAAAATTTAGATTTCTAAAATTCAAGCATAGAAACCGATTTACAAAATAATGGTGTATGAATAAATACTTACTAACATGTCTAATATGCAAGTTCTAAAATATCTTTACCCCAAGACTAAATCCCTTCTTTCTTAATTATATGATGAATGCTAGCTTAAATCAATGATAAATATGTATCCTCTTTATAACAATCCAATTTTTCATGTACTAAGTAAGAAATTTTTCTTTTAAAAAGTTCGCAATTTAATAACTACTCATTCTATTCTACTTTTAATAATAATGGCAAAATGCAGTTCGCCTGTTAATATTTTTTTTTAACATTTTTTATATCTAAAACACTAAGATCTATTATTTTCAATATTTTGGAAAACTCTGTTACTTTTATTTTAGTTTCATAATTTTTTTTAGATTTGACTATAGTAATTCCAAAACCAACTAATGGGAATAATATAACCATTTCATATTCTGAATTACATAGTAAGAACTTCTATTTGAAATCCGGGTCTTAAAGCATTTCAACCATATTTTAAAAATTGATCTAAGATGCTTCTTATTAAGAGTCTTTAAGTTCAATTTGTAAAAATTATTATTTCATAAAAATAATATTCTTCTAAAGTTTTCTGATAGAAATATAAAGTTTAGAATTTAATATATATAATTGAATCAAAAAAACTAACTTGATAATTTAATTTAATTGTAAAAGACTAGAGTTTAAAATGTAATAATATACATTTTAAGATAAAGAATATTATAGATAATATGGTCAATGAAAAGTTGTTGTAGTCTTCTACCTTAATTTTAGTTTTATGGAATGTTATTTAATTTTTGTTTATCAGAAATTTTTTATATTTAATTTTTTTAATATAAATATTTCTAATCATTACATTTTAAATTTTGAGCTCCTTTTAATTTTTCTTCCAGATGGAGATTCTTCTTCATTTAAGTGATTTTCATTAGATTAATCATTTTAATTTGCCTTAACTTCCTTCTATCTCTAATTTTATTTTTTTTCTCCGTCGAAATTATCCTCTCTTTCTTTCAAATATTATTCTCTTTATTTAACAAATGTGTTAAAATCATCCTCATCTTTAACTTTAGTTTATTTGTAATTTTGTTTAAATTTATTATTTTCATAATGATTTTTTTCATGATTATCAAAATTATCTTAAAAATTATCCCTTCTACTTTTATAATTTTTTGGTATTTCTTTACTATCTTCACTAAATTCTGAACTTCTTCGATCAAATCTATCTACTTTAAAACCTCTTTCACTCTTATCATTCCTATCAAATTTATCTCTTCTTTCATTTCTCTCATAACTTTGACTGCGATTTTCAGATCTATCAAAACTTTTTTTCTGTCTAAATTAATCTTCGTTTTCTTCTCTATCATATTTTTATGGTCTTTCTTTTCTATTATATCTATCATTGTTATCATATCTTTCATATTTATCATACTTTTGTGTATATCTATCATTTTTACCTGACTCATTATATTTATTTTTATCAAACTATCTATCTTACTTTTAGTAATTATCATACTTATTATATCTATCTTTTCGATTAAATTCTTCTGATCTATCAAATTTATTATTATATTTATCTCCTTTGTCATATTTATTGAATTTTTCAAATTTATTGTCAGAATTTTCATAATGATTTTATTTTCTGTGCTAATACCTTTTATCAGTGTCAAATTCTTGATTTTCAAATTTTCTGACCTCTTTTTTAGGAGCATTATTTTGATCATCTAAAAAATCTGCTTTTTTAGTGTATTTTTCTTTATAAATTTTTGAATCTTATTGATGGATAGATTCATTTTCAGAAACTTAAGCTATATCACTCAAAAATTATTCATTGAATTTATTTTAATTGAGTTAAAAATCGATTAATATTGAATGAAATGTATCTAAAACCCTTGTACTAGATAACCAAAAACTTTTTTAATCATTTTAACTAAATTAATAAATATTAATTTACAGGTTCATTTAATGAGTACTAATTGTTTCTAAAAATTTGGAAAGATGAGGCAAAAGCAAAGTTTACATATTTCCTCCATCTGATTATATAAATGCCTTTTAACATTTTGCATGATGTGGACATTAAGGACAAACAAAGTCTTCTTTAACTCCAATCTATGCTCTCAATTCTTTAAACAATTATATTTCTGTTTCTTAAGTTGGTGAATCTACAGGGCAAGGAGTAGTAATAATTCTGTTGATATCTCTTTTATGAAATCTCCAATAAAAGTTTCCTTTAGGTATATCCTTGAAAGTATGTGAAATGGATTATAAATACACCCTAAATATTTATTAAGACATAAAATTAAAATAATGTTTTAAATTTTTATATTTTGATATATATCTCAATGACTATCGTGATGGATGTTGACAATATAAAATGCAGTTTCAATACTGGAAACAAGGAATGCTCTATCTTTGATTTCAATACCAAACTCTTTTTCAAGAGCATCATGAATATGAATACAAGTAGCAACATCAACATATCCTGCAGCATCATTCCAATTAGTATTAAATGTGATTGGTGTTGATTCCCACTAAAAAGATAATTGAATCAAGATTTACTCTTTCTGGATCAATTTTTCTTAATCTTTCACCAACAACCTTAATGATTCTCTTAGCTGTTATAGCTGGCTAAAGTATATAAATAATGATACATTATTATAAACTGAACCATTAGGAAAGTGATAAGCATAGAGAGGGACTTATGATTACATACTCTTCACAACAGTAGATATTAATTTATTCATATTTTAATTATTATTATATTTGATTAATATACTCATTGTTTCTTTGCTTATTATTTTTTTGGTTATGGTTTTTTAGTTTACTCCTTTGGTTGTTCTTTAGTTTATTCCTTCTATTCTTTTGGTTATTACTTTTTTTAATCTTTTTTCTCATCTTTAACTTCAACTTCAGCATCTTCTTTCAATTTCTTAATTCTCAACATACCTTATTTTGCAGATAATCCAGCAGGAGTACTAATTTATTAAAATAAAGTATTACTTCACTTCCCAAGCACCTCCAGCAATTTATAATCCTGTTTATGTACATCTCCATATACCGATTGCTTATCTCTTAAGTGAATGCTAGAATATTATAATATAAATTACAGCTCCAGTAAATGTGTTGAAATATCTTTAATGTTGTGAAATTTCAAACTTCTTGATAATTTTTCTTAAAGATGCACCATATCTGGTACCATATTTACCTGTTATTCCAACCTTCTTTGTTTTTTTGGTCATTTCAAAAAATAATTAAAATCTTTAATTTATTTTTAAATAATTAAACAACTATGAGTGATTCAGATGATGATATTTTTAAAAAGAAGAAACCTAGTAAAAAGAAAATTGAATAACAATCAAAGTAACAATAATAATAATAATTACAATAATAACAAAAATAACTTAAACCAGAACTAAACTAACCAGATTAATAATTAAAACATCCTAAATCAGTTATCTATTGTAAAATATGTACATTACCTGTTGAATTTTGTTCATTTTCTAAAGCTCCTCAAGAATGCAAAGAATGGTTAAAAACTTCATATAAAGATCTTTATGCAATTTTATATCCTGAAGATCTCAAATTAGAATAAGAAAAATAGGGAGCTCTTTAATAATAATAATAAATTGTTTAATAATAAATTTTAGAGTAACCTCCAGAAAAAAAAAAGAAAAAGAAAGTCAAAGTGACAGAAAGTGAAATGGTATATATTAAAGTTAAAGAAAGAAACAGAAATAAATTTATAACAACCTTATCAGGATTAGAAAAACATGGTAATTATAATCATCTTATCATAGGTCTTGATATTAAGGAAGCCTAAAAGAAAATTAGTAAGAAATTTGGATGTGGTTCTTCAATCAATGAAAAAGGAGCTATTGAATTACAAGGAGACTTAAGTGTAGAATTAGAAGAATGGATTCCAAAAGAATATCCCTCTATTAAAGAAGACATGATTGCAATTCAAGAAAAATGAGATTTAAATCAGAAATATCTATATATTTTAAATATAAATGAAACACCGTCAAAAATAGAAATCAAAATCTTAATTATATATTGTCGAAAAAATTGTAGGCAAACGATACGATCCTATTTCAAAAGAATTATAATATTGCATTAAATGGGAAGGTTATAATGAAGCAGAAAATACTTGGGAACCTTTAAGAAATCTAAAGAATGTTCAATCAGATATTGAGGAATTTGAAAATTAATACGGTAATAAGAAAAAAAACATGACTCTCAAAATTGATTAAAAAAAACTGAAATAATTGCTTCTCAATAAATTAACTCATTTTCTTGAAAAAATAGTCCCTAAACCATAATAATTATAAGAAATAAGTCTCAGCGATTATGAGAGTTCATTAGAGTAAATTTAACCAAAAAATAACCAATCAGAAGCCTAGTAGTCTAAAACCATTCCAGATCAAATCAAAGCAAAATCTTCAATTCTAACTCAAACTTACAATTGAAGTTCCAAAATTTGTGAATCTAATATTGATTATTGAAATTATCCTGCTAATTATCTGTCATTTAATAATATCAAATCTCTATATAGAAGAAAAGACCTTTGAGGTTTGATTAATAATCTATAGTAAATTAAAGAATTAATAAAGTCATATTTATATTATATTTATTAAAAATAATGATTATCGAAGCAAATTCTTTAGCAGAGGAATTACGAGGTGTTTCAAGGTACGAAAAAGTATATCAAAAAAATTTTATTTAGGTTGCTTATGTATCAATTTTTATGATTGGATTACTTATAATCAAAACTGATGATGCATATATTACTTGTTAAAGTTCAAATGAATTTTAAGAAATAATTTGGGAAATGGGTTTGATACCCTTGGCCTTTGTGGGAGATATAACTAAAAATATGAATATAAATATTTTTGTTGTTGGATTAGTTCAATTTTTGGTCTGCCAATTAAGGCTTCAATTTACAATAATTTATTTACTCTACAAGATATTAGGGCAAGGCAAAATGGTATTTTCATGAATCTATTTAAGAGACTTATAGCTTTCTTTATCTTATACCATTGATAACAAATGCAATATTACCTCATTAAAAATTATTATTTGGCTTTGCATAATTTATATTGGTATTATTAATCATAATGTTAAATAAAACACTATCGTAAGAGAAATAAATTAAACCAAAAATTAATTTAAAGTTTTATATAAGTAGATTGATAGCTTGTATTATATTAATGCAAAAATTGGATATGGTTAATAGTAATTTTTATGAAAATCAAGTTATCTTTATGAGTATCATTTTTAAATATTCATTTAGTTCTAAGTTTACCTATGGTTAAATTATTAACCAATTAAATACCAGATATAGTATTTGGTATGTTGTTCTTGATTTACTTTTACTTTAGTAAAGGATATCCATTTTTAGAAAATGTTTTGCAATGTGTACTTATCTGTTTTGTAATTTTAAAACTCTTGCCTGTAATAATGGATTAAAAATTTTCAAGTATTTAAATATTTTAATATGAATAGTGACAATTTCATTACTTTTGCCAATAATAATATTGATATTTCCGTTGTCAGAGTATTTTNCCTTTAAGAAATCTAAAGAATGTTCAATCAGATATTGAGGAATTTGAAAATTAATACGGTAATAAGAAAAAAAACATGACTCTCAAAATTGATTAAAAAAAACTGAAATAATTGCTTCTCAATAAATTAACTCATTTTCTTGAAAAAATAGTCCCTAAACCATAATAATTATAAGAAATAAGTCTCAGCGATTATGAGAGTTCATTAGAGTAAATTTAACCAAAAAATAACCAATCAGAAGCCTAGTAGTCTAAAACCATTCCAGATCAAATCAAAGCAAAATCTTCAATTCTAACTCAAACTTACAATTGAAGTTCCAAAATTTGTGAATCTAATATTGATTATTGAAATTATCCTGCTAATTATCTGTCATTTAATAATATCAAATCTCTATATAGAAGAAAAGACCTTTGAGGTTTGATTAATAATCTATAGTAAATTAAAGAATTAATAAAGTCATATTTATATTATATTTATTAAAAATAATGATTATCGAAGCAAATTCTTTAGCAGAGGAATTACGAGGTGTTTCAAGGTACGAAAAAGTATATCAAAAAAATTTTATTTAGGTTGCTTATGTATCAATTTTTATGATTGGATTACTTATAATCAAAACTGATGATGCATATATTACTTGTTAAAGTTCAAATGAATTTTAAGAAATAATTTGGGAAATGGGTTTGATACCCTTGGCCTTTGTGGGAGATATAACTAAAAATATGAATATAAATATTTTTGTTGTTGGATTAGTTCAATTTTTGGTCTGCCAATTAAGGCTTCAATTTACAATAATTTATTTACTCTACAAGATATTAGGGCAAGGCAAAATGGTATTTTCATGAATCTATTTAAGAGACTTATAGCTTTCTTTATCTTATACCATTGATAACAAATGCAATATTACCTCATTAAAAATTATTATTTGGCTTTGCATAATTTATATTGGTATTATTAATCATAATGTTAAATAAAACACTATCGTAAGAGAAATAAATTAAACCAAAAATTAATTTAAAGTTTTATATAAGTAGATTGATAGCTTGTATTATATTAATGCAAAAATTGGATATGGTTAATAGTAATTTTTATGAAAATCAAGTTATCTTTATGAGTATCATTTTTAAATATTCATTTAGTTCTAAGTTTACCTATGGTTAAATTATTAACCAATTAAATACCAGATATAGTATTTGGTATGTTGTTCTTGATTTACTTTTACTTTAGTAAAGGATATCCATTTTTAGAAAATGTTTTGCAATGTGTACTTATCTGTTTTGTAATTTTAAAACTCTTGCCTGTAATAATGGATTAAAAATTTTCAAGTATTTAAATATTTTAATATGAATAGTGACAATTTCATTACTTTTGCCAATAATAATATTGATATTTCCGTTGTCAGAGTATTTTAATGTACTATTGATATTGTTAACAATAAGTGAGCCACCATAAAATTTATATGAGTAGATTGAATTATGAATAATAAATATATATAAAAATTAAATTATGGGCAGAGGTGATTTCAATAGCAGAGGTGGAGGAAGAGGTGCCCCAAGAGGTGGCAGTTTTAGTAGAGGAGGTGGAAGAGGTGGAAGACCTCAATAACCTTAAGGACCACCAGCAAAAGTTGAACCATTCGCTACTTATTCTCATGTTTGTGGAAATCAAATAATTGTTAAGGCTTTAGGAAAGCAATTAGTATAGAAGATGATGATTATTAGGTTCCAAGATTCTTTAGAAGTGTATATTTTGAAAATAAGCAACCAATCGGTAAAGTCGATGAAATATTTGGTCCAATTGAAAATTATTTATTCTCAGTAACATTGGAAGAAGGAATAACTCCAAAATCAGTACTCAAAACATTTAATCAAAGTTCAAATAAGATCAATTGATTTATATGGATGCATACGATTGCATGCCTATGGATAGATTTTTACCAAAGCCAAAAGGTACACCTGGAATAAGTAGAGGAGGAGCCAGAGGAGGATCAAGAGGTGGTGGTAGAGGAGGACCTAGTAGAGGTGGAAGAGGAGGAGCACCTTTTAGAGGTGGAAGAGGAGGACCAAGAGATGGTGGAAGAGGAGGACCAAGAGGAGGTGGATTTAGTAGAGGAGGCGGATATTAAAGAGGAGGAGGCTATGGAAGAGGAGGATTTAAATAATGATAAAGTATATTACATTTTATTTCATCATCATTAACATATTAAATTATGTTTTTATTCTCCCTAGTTTAATTAATATTACTCAAAATATTTTAAGATAAATATTATATATTTATTATTTACTATTAAATTTATCAAATAGATATTATATTTAAATTTTTATTTGTTTATGATAATTATTTGCTAGGGTAATTAAAACAGAAGTCAAAATTTATTAACTATTTTACTAAAATTGATTATTCCACCAAAAATTAAAAATTTTTAAATATTTTATTCCAAGATGCAATATGTTTTTTGTTCCTGTGGAGAGAATTTTTATTAGAATAGTCTAAATTTATTAAATCTAATTTTTTTTGAATATAATCAAAATCAAAAACTTCAAATTAATTTTATCATATATAACTTGTTTGTTTGTTTAAAGTTTAATCTAAATTTTATTTTTAAAAGTCTATCTCTCTTAAATTACTCTCTTATATTATAATTATGTTATATTATAATTTATTAATAATTAAATAATAAACTAAGTAAAATTTATCAATAAAATTCTGTGCTGGTAGTTGATCTATTAAAGAATTTAATTTTTGGTTAAAATGTACAATTTTTAGCCTCCTTTTATTCTTATTATTCTTTAATCTTCTTGATTTTTTATTCTTTAACTATATTTTCCTTCATTGCCTTCTGATATAAGGCAGCTGGTCCTTTGAATGTTTATCTTTATTTTGCAATCTACTCAGATTTTTAGTTTAATTAAGGTTTAAAGGTACTTGAAGTATCAGGCAAGGTTTTTTACTATTTAGGTTGTTTTTAAAAAAGACGGTTTTTATCAAAAATACTCATTTTTTCAATTATATCTAAGCATTTTGCTGTCCATGTTTCGATATTCAAATAAATGTCCAACTTCTCCAATTATAAAATAACTGGTTGTAATAGTTCTAACGCCTCAGTTGGTAATTCTTCGAGATAAATATTTTGAGCACTAATCAATCCATCATTATCAGAATCCATAAGTTTAAAATATTCTTCTAGCTTTTTTTTTCTCATTTATAAAACTATTTAATTAGATCTTTCAGTTTATACTGATTTACTTAAATCATCACATTCAAATTAAATGATTGATTCTTCATTTAAAGATTTTTATTATTGATAAAGGTACTCTCCAATACTGAGTCCTCCTCTGGATCTGTTTGCACTATGAACTTA